GTCTGACCAAAGACTTCGGAGTCAGATGCCTTTGAGCCATCGGGCATCCGGGAACAGGCGGGTTGCTGAACATGCAGAGTCCGATGGTGGGGGATCCTTCAAATCAGCATCAGACCTTTCAGGGTCGAATCGTGGGATGGTGGAATCCGTGGTTTGGAGTTTCAGTAAGATTCTAGTATACAACTCACCAGAGGGCGTCTGTCGGGAGATCACATAACCACTGGCCGCTAGCCCTAAGCCCTAAACCCTAAACCCTAAGTGAAGGGGTCGGCCAAACCATGGGACAATGCCAAGAATGCCACGGCCCCGCTGGAGTTTAGGGTTTAGGGCGAGATACCCACCTAAACCCTAAACCCCAAGCCCTAAACCCTCAGGCTCAACCACTCTGCAGTTGAAGAGCCTTCAGGAGGAAGTGTTCCGTTTGTTCTTTCACACCCGCACTCACTTACGCACATGCATACGGACCTAAACTATGGGAAATAGGTAGATGCCTTATTAAGGGTAACGCAGGATTTAAATCATCAACCGTATTTCTGACTGACTTACGTACCCAGCTACTTGCCGGAGTACTTGCCCGTTTGCCTGCCTGCCTGCCATAAATAAAACCGAGTAAATATGTATACTGTATAGACGTATGTGTATATGTATATATATGTATGTATGTATGAATGTATGAATGGCCGCAGCAGCGCGGAATATCGTTAGCCCCAGTGCCCATGGGGGGCACGCCTTGGTGCCGCACTTGTGAGGCGGCATGCAGTTCTTTGTCAAGACCCTGACAGGCAAGACGATTACGTTGGACGTTGAGGCCAGTAGCACGTTCAACAATGTCAAGGCTACGTTCCAGGATAAGGAAGGCGACCCGCCCGACCAGCAGCACCTGATCCTTGCTGGCAAGCAGTCGGAGTTAGAGGATGGCCGTACTCTCCCGGATTACAACATCCAGAATGAATCGACCCTCCACTTGGCGCTGTGTTTGCGAGGCGGCATGCAGAGTTTTGTCGAGACCTTGACGGGTACGACGGTCACGTTGGACGTTGAGGCCAGTGGCACGTTCGAAAATGTCAAGTCTACGTTCCAGGATAAGGAAGGCACCCCGCCCGACCAGCAGCACCTGATCCTTGCTGGCAAGCAGTCGGAGTTAGAGGATGGCCGTACTCTCCCGGGTTACAAATCAACCCTTCACTTGGCGCCGCGTTTGCGAGGCGGCATGCAGATCCTTGTCAAGACCTTGACGGGCAAGATGATCACCTTGGACGTTGAGGCCAGTGGCACATTCGGCAAGGTTAGACGAAGAGTGCGGCAGTGTCGTAGCCGTCGGCTCCATCGGTGCCTTCGTGTACCAGGCCGGGTCCATGCTGTTGCAGCAGCTGAAGATCGATGACCCGGTGGATGCTAGCAGCTTTTGCTAAGATGTTAGTTGCTTGATGCGTTATATGCGCTCGGCATGCGTGCTTGTATATATGCTGTCACTGTGCATGCATGAATGTCTTGAGCGGGCACGGTTCATTTGATAATCGTGTGGGGTGTAGCTTTGCTGTTTGCCTCCCCCCGCCCCCGGGGGAATAGGCGCAAAGCTTTGTTTGAGTTACCGGTAGATTCGTGCAGGGACTGACTCCTTGAGGCCGATCCTGCACCTTGTAAGGGGTAGTGTTGCTCTGATGATTGCCTCCCTGGCCCCACGAGGAACTACTCAGAGTTTTCGTACAGCTGCTGGTTTGCTTGTTAGGGTTTGACTTTTGGGAGTTTAATCATCCCGCTTTGTTCGTGCTTGGCGGGTCATAGGTGAGACGACTTTTCGGTCCAAAGGGCTGGTCGGTTACATCTCATTCTACCCGTTCTGACATGCTTGAGTGCATACCGGCACGGTTTACATGCCTCAGCCAGATTTCTGCGCCAGGCTTTCGAATGTAATTAGGTGCGTCCCAACGGCTGCGTTCGACCCGAACTCATTGCCCAGAAAGCGAAAGCGAATGTATATGTATATATATATATATATATATATATATGTGTGTGTAATTTCTCCTCGGTATGTATACATATATATATATATGCATACACACGAAAACACTAAACAGAAAAATCACTTGCACTCGAACAAGAAGTACGTATGCGAAAGTACCCTACCCACCTGAGGTGAAGCACCGGCTTTTCTCGAGACATCGGCTTTGCTCCAAAAACGAGGGCCGAAATCTGCTAGCGCCCCAAAGAGAGCCGTCCAAGGAGGGGGTTCAGGCAAAGGGTGCTGGTTCATTCTTTCTGCAGCCGGGGGTTTGCTGTGGGGCCGTGGTTGGGATTCGCGGTTTCTCAGGGTTCAGTGTGGTGGAAGTGTGTCCTCTGCTGCCGCTGCCCCTCCTGGACCCTCGTCCGTTGAGGACATTATACCAGTAACAATTCCTTGAAATAAAGCCATGTGGGAGTTTCCGGAAGTAGGGGACCCTAATATAGTACCCTAAATAGTAGGATCCTTACTATAAGGACCCCCAAAATAAGGTACCCCCATTTTCGGAAACTCCCATGTCTAGCCATGACCATCTAATCTAGAACGGTTGCACGCCCACGGCGAGTCCTTCGTTGAGGCGGTGCCGGACGATACTTTCACTTCGCTGCAAGGCAAACTTCCTTTCTTCTGGCAGCTGACAAACGATCCTAGAGTCTTTTGGGATGTCGGGTTTTACAGCTGGCACAACATTGTTTAGCGTTTACGCTTTTGGGGCAGGGCAGAGAGTTCAGGGTTACGTCTTAGCTTGCCCGTTAAGTTGAGCTTGCTCACGACCCGATATGCCGTGAACCTCGAACAAACAACGACTTCAAACAGTTTGTATACAGTACAGGGCAATGTTTCTGAATCACCGCAATGCTGTGTAAAGTGTTGTGCTGTCACGTGACAGGGCACCCTGTCGTTACCATACCATTCTGCTTGGCAAAATAAAGTACCTCCACATGTGGCGCCTTTATGTACATGTGTGTATGCGTACATGCATGCGTACATGCATGCGTGCATGCATACGTACATATATATATATATATATATATATCTGTATACATGCATACGTACGTACCGCTGTGTACGGACAAACAGACGGAAGGAGCATGTTCATACTTGTGGTATACAGCATGTACCAAAATACCAACCACCCGTATGCTCACATATTACGACGTGTGGTGTGGTACAGCGCGGTGGTAGGTTGCTACAAATGCTCAGGAACCATTCGACCTGACGAAATTGGTTCGAGGTTTCGGAAGTTTAGGGTTTTGGGTTTGGGGCTTAAGATTCATGGTATTTTAAAGTTTATATACACCGAGCTTAACTCCGGTTTAAGGTTAAGGGTTCAATTGTCAACAGGGGAACTCTGACATGAACCCGAGAATAGATGGCCCTTGGGACATGGAATGACAGAACTAACCAGGTCAGGGGTGCCGTAGCATCCAAGGTAACCAATAGCTAGCTCTGAAGCCACCATGTCCGCATCTCTCAGCCACACTTGTTGAGTAACACGGATGCAGAATCCACGAAGCAGCGGCTTACACGAAAGCTTGCCCCAGTTGCCTGGCACGCTCCGAGCAGAATCTGCGTCGAAAGCATCTTCTTTCAGAATTCGGGCTTCGGGTGCTCCGAGATTTACCTTTCTAAAGGGGTTTTATGGTTTAGATCGGGCGGCTTTTGGTTGAGGGTGTAGGGCTTCGACATGGGGCTTCTGCTTTACTACAACATACTCGGACCTGGATCGATGCCGTTGACCCGCGGCTGTCACGTCGTGGTTGCTAAGTTCTTAACATCAAGGACTCTGAACCAACACTTAAACTGAGACCCTCTAGGGCGAAGGGGCTGCAGAGCCTACAGTGGCTCTGGGAAATGAAGTGAACTACGGCTACGGTTGATGATACCATAATTCCCATAGGTATTTCAGGATTTATATCATCAACAGTAGTGGTTGTGATGTTCAGGTGGCTCAGGGAGCTTCCTTTAGGCACGCAAAGCCTTTCGATTGTAGACGGTTTCATATGCGAACCTTAGTAATTGAACCTGGGCTGTTGGGCAAGATTTCAATGTAACCATAGACTAGACCCAAGAGTAACCTGGGAATAAAAAGGGTGCCCTTTTTGGTTTAAAGGGGCTTATAAGGGAACCTGAACCCTACAAAAAGGGAATAAGGGCCTACTCCAGGTCCTAGTAGAAGAACTACAAGTGCATCTTCTGACTGGTTTACGGATTTCGAGATTAAACCAGCCAAACCCTAAACCCTGAACCCTAAACCCTGCCAAACCCTAAACCCTGAACCCTGCCAAACCCTGAACCTAAACCCTGCCAAACCCTAAACCCTAAACCCTGCCAAACCCTAAACCCTAAACCCTACTCCGCAAGTGTGGGTTACTCTGCGTTACGGCTCTTAGGGGTCGTGGGCTCAGGTTCCAGGTCCAGGGCGCCAGTAAGAAAGGTGCCTTAATAGTTAGAATAGGCTTGTGGGGCTCATTATACTATACTTATAATAGGGAACCACTCAAAATGGTGTTGGTAATTATTGAAACCTTGAAACCTCTATTTTATGCTGTCATGGAGGGCACGGGCCCGGTCGACCCCGAACCCTGACATCTCAAACCAGCCCACAGGTGAGACCCTCAATGCCCACACATGGGTCACGCCCATGGCAGGCCGCAAAGCTTCGATCTTCCCAAAAAGGCTCCTCACATACTCCTCACATACTTAGAGGATCATGGGACTTAGTAAGTAGGTTATAACTGGGTTTATAAGTCCCGCAAGTGGGGTTATCCTAATTATAACCTACTTATAACCTTACTTAGTAAGTCCCATGAGCCTTTAAGTACTTGCGTACTTGCGCGACATGATCACCGAACTACGGCTCCCTCAAGCCTAAACCCTTGAAGCCCTAAACCCTAAAACTTAGCCGGCTGTGAACCTTCTTGGGATGGTGACTTGCCGTGCTGGGCCGTCTAGCCGTTAACACGCGGACATAGGTCAACAGCTCAAACCATCTCGATCACTCCTTGGTTTCTCCCGGGTCCCTTACAAGGTTGGGTTTAGGGCTTCGGGTGTCCTATAAGTTCCTCAAGGGGTTCTACACTGGTCTAGGCCCAGGGTTCAGGGCTAAAGGATGTAGGGTTGAAGTGTTCCGGGGTTTGGGGTTGAAGCGTTTCAAGTTTAGGGGTGGGAGAACTTCTGTCCTGCTGCTCCAGGCAGATTTGAGACTTATATACCGTCGTGTACATCTACTTGGAGGGTCGGGGGACATAGTAAGTAGTCATTGTAAAGACTTGTGGGTATCATAACCGTAATTTGGACCCCTTTTAAGGTACTTTATAAGTCTACTTACTGCCTACTTACTAGGTCCCACGACGCTCCACGCGTCTTCGCTCACCATCCATGGCAGCTCGTGGGCCGTGGAGGCCATTGTACCACTTCGAAATTCAGAGTTCGGGTTAGGACGGCTATAGTAACTGGAAGGCTTGTGCCTTGAACTCTGAATCAAGTGCTTGTGCCCATTAACCCTAAGGCGTTCTCTCCGAAACCCGCAGCCCGAAATCGAAATCCAACACCTCTGAAAGAGAGCCCAGCTGCTGAGGGCTTGTAGTTCTGGAGCCGGAGGTTGAACTCTTGAGGCTCCACCCGCCTACCCCTGGAAGCCAGAAAGATGGAAGATAAAAAGAACCGTCATGCCTTCAAGGTGTAGGGACTCCGAGCAAAACATCCTCCTTGCCAAATTTTCCGATTTTTTGGGTAAACCTTTCGGTTGCCTAGATCCTAGATGCCTAAACCCCCCACGCGACAACCCCTAAACCCCTGAACCCCAAAACCTAAACCCTACACCCTGAGCCCTAAACCCTAAACCCCAAACCGAGACTCTCTCCAGTCGTGCCAGCCACTTCGACCCCGCTCCCTCCAGCCGTCCTGCTCCTCGGCCGTAGCTCACAAGGGCTTCATAATTAGAAAGGGTTTAGGGTTTAGGGTTCAGGGTTAGAATACGGTTCCTTAAAAGGGTTCCCGGGCTCTAAAGTAATAGTAGGTTTCTATAATATATGGGCCTTAGTAATTAGACTAGGGTTCCTTTAAAGGGTTCCTTTAAAGGGATACTACAAGGGATCTATAATGGGGATATCTAATATAGGGGACTTAATAGTTGGAATAAGGTTCCTTTAAAGGGTGCTCTAAACGTGCCCATAAGGGTTCCTTTATGGGGATCTACAAGGGTTACCAGAAGGGCTACTATAAGGACTTAGCATAGGGGCCTTAACATTTAGAATAGGGGTTTCATAGCGTTCCTTTAAAGGGATTACCATAAGGACTACTATAAGGGTTTTATGATATAGGGGGCCTTCATAATTGGAATCGGGTTCCTTTAAAGGGGGTATTTAAGGGTTCCTTTCAGGGTATAAGGGTTTAGCACAGTGGCCTTAATCATTAGAATCGGGTTTTGGGGCCAATTGTACTTAATTACAATAAGGACCCCCCCCGTGGGGCCCACAAAAAGATTATCACAATAAAGAACCGCCCCAAAATAGTATAGGCAAGTAATTTTTAGGCCCCTATAGTAACCGCCACATTCCTCCCTCCCGCACGCTAAAATATTGTTGTATCCTTCCCCTTCTTCTGTGCACTCTTGCGGTCAAAGTTTACCACCATGCTGGTTTTGCTATGATTGTGCTTGGATGATCTCGGGATTTGGGGCTTGCATTCGGAACCTACCACACCTCCACTTATGGCCAGGGTCTTATCGTTTTAGGCTTCCGGGCTTCAATTCTAGGTTTCAGGTTCCGGGGTACGTTGAAGCTGACTGTTTAGCTTGTTCAGGCAACATCTCAGATTTTGTCGTGTCCGGGTGGGTAAACAGAACCTTGCTGGGTTCTGCCTGCTGCGGGAGCCGCGTCTGTCTTACAATTACAGAACAAGCCTCATCTGCTCCGCAGCTCCCATGTTCCCTGATTCACACAGACCCTAACCTCGCTCCCCTACCCCTAATCCCTCAAAGACCCTCCGCCGCTAAGAAACCAAACGCATTCCGCTGTAGACGCTCAGACGATATGCTCATCTCCTAGACCCAGAGGTCCACGACCTACCTTTGAAAGCCCAACACCCAACTCTTCCATATTGTTCAGCCCTAAGCCAGCAGCTTACTGCCTTGGCTGAACCAAAGAGAGGATCGCTTGGAGAACTTAGAGTTGAAACTTTGGAAGAGTTAGCATTCCGCAGCTGAAGGGGGGGAGTTAAATTTCAGTGTATGGGAGGGTTTAGCGTTGGTTCCTTGCCGAAATCAGGAGATTTTTAGAATGGTACAGCATTTTGGGGAATAATTGCGCAATGAAGAAACGAATAAATAGTATATATGCATGACCAGAAGAACAAGGATCCCTCAGTCCTATTCAGCAGCAGCACGCAGTGCAGGGTTGAGGGTTTAAAGAAAAAACATGACGCCAAACAGCGAGCAGTGAGACAGAACCCTGCTTGGAGCAAGAAGCCGTTCGAGGATCCGTGCGCCAATCGCTAGCGATCTGATCGCACTGCTCCTGGGCCAAGGAAATATCCGGGAAGTTTGAAGCTTGGATCAGAGTTCCGCGTTAATGTGGATTGAAACTGTTGCATTGTAGGCACCAGTCACCAAAACACTGACATCATGTTGCATTCATTCCAAAGCTATCGTGTCCAAAACGCATCGGATGAACTTCGTCAGATTTGTGAGATTCATCTGAGTTAAGCAGAAGATGGGATGGATTGGAATCAGGCATTGGGAATTCGTACTGATTGAGGAGGATTGGTGAACTGTTGTCGCGACAACTGCATCGGATCATCTTCGTGAGATGTGGCTATTGCAGGAAAACGCATCGGATCAACTTCGTCATATTTGAGAGATTCATCTGAGTTAAGCAGAAGATAGGATAGATTGGAATCGGGATGAAAACTTCGGGAATTCGCATTGATTGAGGAGGATTGGTGAATATTTGTCGCGCAAACTGCGTCGGATCAACTTTGGCCCACGCTCACGCAGCACGGACGTTATTAACCCCCCCCCTCCCACCCCCACCCCACCCCCCCTCCCGAAGACAAGTCCGAATCCTCAGAAATGCAGGAAAACGCACGACAGTTAACGATCCGTTAGCTAAAACTACTACACTACTACTACCACTACTACTATTACTACTACCAGTATTCGTACCACCACTACTACTACCACCACTACCACTACCACTACTACCACTACTACCACTACTACCACTACTACCACTACTACCACTACTACCACTACTACCACTACTACCACTACTACCACTACTACCACTACTACCACTACTACACTACTACCACTACTACCACTACTACTACACTACTACTACCTACTACTACTACTACTACTACTACTACGACTACACTACCACTACTACTACTACTACTACTACTACTACTACTACTACTACTACTACTACTACTACTACTACTACTACTACTACTACTACTACTACTAGACTCCGACTCCGACTCCGACTGCTACTGCTACTGCTACTGCTGCAAAAGCTTGCTTGTGCTGTCACAGGCGTTCATGTATCATTATTTATGTGAGCATGCAAAAAGTGAAGTTCATCAACTGTAAAAACCACCAGCGTCTCCAAAAAAGTAATAGCTTCATTTTCATGGGTTCTCCAGAGCCCTGTTTGTCAAGAAATTAGGTCTTACATGGAAATAAGCACCTTCACGCGCCACGGAATCACCAGGGTCGTGGGGCGCGCGTAACCTAGTTGCCTAGGTGTAACCGCGTTTTGTTCCCTAAGCCCTATACTAAAACACCGAAGGTCATAAACCCTGCAACCTACAACCCTCAAGTAAACTTTATGATTATCCTTGGTACACCTAAAGCCCGAACTACCCTTTATCGTAGCCATTATTTACCTCTTAATGAGGAATCTAAGAGGGCAATTGAAGGGTCCTGGCACACCTAAACCAGAGACTCCAATATCCCTTATTAAGGAATATTCCTTAAATTATGGTAGGATCCCTAATATGATTTAAGGAATATTCCTTAATTAAGGGATATTGGAGTCTCTAGGAAACCTTACGGACTTCTGGACCGAGAAGCAAGATGCAAGGGCTGGAGAAGTTCTCGAACAGTGTCGAGAGGAAGGCGCCTTATAACGAATGTAAAAACTGGTGGAGGGTTTAGGGTTTAGGGATAAAAGCTTATAAACAAAAGGGTTTGGGGTTTAGAGCTTTTGCCTTGGGATCTTCTTTAGATCCGCTTTTCCGCTTGCTCTCATCTCTGGAGTGAGCCGAAAGCCATTTCTGACCAGCTGCCCTGGCTTTCATATTATGGCCTTCAACGACCCGTGTCAAACCTGATAGGGGCCGGAATAAGTAGAATAGGATTTCGTGGTATACTGTGGTATGATAGGGGTCCCTTTTGGGGTATCTTCTACTATAATCATAATGAGGAAACCCCGCAATGGTATTGGTAATCATTGTGCCCTAAACCCTGAACCCCTAAACCCGAAACCCTTCCTTTCCGGCGTTAAAAAGAAGGGGCAAAGCCCAGATGCCTTACTCGGATAAAAAGCCACGCTGCCGGTCGCCCGAGACTCGAAACCCCAAAACAGCAAAATCCCGAAACCCGAAAGTCGAGATCCTACGGTTTAGGGTTTAAGGTTTAGGGTTTAGGGTTTAGGGTTTAGGGTTTAGGGTTTAAGGTTTAGGGTTTAGGGTTTAGGGTTTAGGGTTTAGGGTTTAGGGTTTAGGGTTTAGGTTACCCTTTTGGGGGTTTCCGAAAATAGGGGACCCCAACATAGTCATTACCCCAAATAGCAGGATTCTTATTGTAAGGACCCCAAAGTAAGGAACCCCTAATTTTCGGAAACTCCCTTATAGCTTCCGTATGGCACTCGTACGGAAGCTCTTGTCGCGAGCCCTTGATACAGCCAAGGTGCCAGCTGTTTGAAATCTTTTCACAGCAGTGCACCTTCTTGTCGGCCTTGGAATCTTCCAACAGAAGTCACAGTTTCGTGTAAAGGGTTTAGGATTCAGGCTTTAGGCTTAATAAGGTTTAGCAAGGGCGACTATAAACTGTGTGTAAGGAGTTTTGTACGAGGTTTAGGGTTTAGGATTTTCTGGGTTTTGGAGCATTTCACCCGGGTTCTTCGCTGGGTTTGTCATGGTCCCACCAGGGATTCTGAGGCCTTCAGGGAGTAATCATATAGGGGCCTTAGTAATTGGAATAGGGTTTTGGGGCCCATCATACTATACTTATCATAAGGAGCCCCCCAAAAAGAAGAGGTTTTAGGAGAAGAGGGCTTCGTTCTAGGGTTGTGTGTGTGTGTGTGTGTGGGAATGTTGGGTTTACAATAGATAGGTAGGGAAAAAAGAAGAGGGCGAAGGCGTGGGCCGTCTTGAAAAAGCGTGTAGGCACAGTGCAGCCCTGGCCGGTATTTGCCTATTTTACGTAGAAACCGTAAACCCTGAACCCAAATTCCGAAACCCTAAACCCAATCTCTGGGTCCACGTCCCAACGAAGCCCAACCCTAAAGCCCCGAGCCCCAAACCGAGCCTCCTACCTGCGCTGACCTTCTGGCAGAATCAGCTTCGGTATTCTCTTAGCGCCCTAAACCCCTAACCTAAACCCAAAACCCTTAACCCCAAGTGTTCGTGCAGACTCTGACTAGTTCGCAGGACCCCAAAGCCTACGAGGGTTGTGGGTCGAGCATTTTGAGGGTTCAGGATTTGAAGTTTTGGGGTTTGGGGTCAAACCAAACCCTAAAGCGGGAGCAGTGGTATCTGAGCCGAGGGGCGGCATAAAAGCCACGATGCCGGCAAGAGCTGACGTAAGTCCTGAAAGTTCAGCGCCGGTAGGCTTCTCGGGATTCGGGGGGTTCGGGATGGAAGTGTTCAGGGTCTAGGCTGTTTTTGTAGAGCTGAGGCTTTAGGGTCAAGGTGATGGGAGGCCAAACGGAGGGTTTAAGATTCTTGGGGTAGGGATTCCTTAATATGAACCCTATTATTGGAATTCTAATCCCTACTGAACCCCCATAGGCTAAAACCCCTTTTGGACTCCTATGACAAGGGTTTGTTGGGGAGTTTGGCGTTCTTGCGGCGCAATTGTCTTTCGGAGGCTGCTCCGGGGCGTCGGCTTTCGACTTCGGGCTACGATCAGTGTTAACCATCTAAGGGATGGGTGTACTTAGAGGCTCATGGGACTTAGTAAGTAGGGTTATAAGGAGGTTATAATTAGGATAACCCCACTTAGGGGACTTATAACCCCAATTATAACCTACTTACTAAGTCCCGGGATCCTCTAAGTAGGCTTGGTTAAAGTTTGGGGCTGGAGCACTGGAGATGCTAGATCTTGGGGTAGACTATCGGGGCCTTACTTGGAGGGTCGGGGGACTTAGTAACCGGTTTTTTTAGGGACTTATAAGTACCATAACCCCAATTAGGGTCCCTTTTAGGGTACTTATAAGTCTACTTACTACCTACTTACTAAGTCCCCCGACCCTCCAAGTAAAGATTAGAATAGGCTTTGGTGTTACATAAATACATAAAATAGTCTATTTTTAATCAGGAACCCTGAAGAACATTGGTCCCTAAACCCTAAACCCTAAACCCTGAACCCTAAACCCTAAACTGTTCAGGGTTCTATGCGGGCCTCTGGGTGCCTCTAAGTGCCCGAACTGCCATTTTGTTCTACTGACATGAACGACGCAAGAGATAAAACAGACAGCAGCACCCTAGGGTTTAGGGTTTAGGGTTCAGGGTTTAGGGAACCTAAACCCCCAAATCTAAAAATCAGTCCTAGATACAGTCAAGCAAAACTCAACCGAGGTCGCGGGGCCTAGAGCTTTCTCACCAGCCATAAGCCGAGAACTGTCGCTTTCCATTTTGGGGTGACGAGGAGGAGTCCAGGTAATTTGTTGATATACTTTGCCTGGTCCAAGTCTCCGCAGCTGCGCAGACACCGTCGACTGGTTAGCGGTGCGCTCGTCGTAGTGGAAGCGCCTGGTTGCGAGACAGGACCAATGCAAGGTTGCTAGTTACAGCCGAAATACTACAAGTACCAGAAACCCTAAACCCTAAACCGAGTGTCAGCAACAACAAATTTTGTAGAGGAAAGTTGAGTCGCTGCCAGCAGCCGGCTAAACCCGAAGCTCGAAACCCTAGATCCTAAAGAGCCGACAGTGTCCAGCATGGAATCCGAGAGACTCCAATATTCCTGAATTAAGGAATATAAATTAAATCATAGTAGGATCCCTGATATGATTTAAGATATATTCTTAATTAAGGGATATTGGAGTCTCTAGAATATCTTCAAGAATATAATTAGGTGTTTTACTTCCCGGATTTCGGGCTTTCAGCTCCAGAAGAAAGTTCTGGAGTTTAGAAGTTATTTAGGGGTCATGGGTTACGGGTCCTAAATGAACCACTTGCATGAACCCAGCTCAGTTGCTGGGTAATGATAGTCAGCTGCTCATCCTCCAGGTCTCCTCATTGATGATGCAAGGGTTTAGGATTGAAGGGTCGAGGGTTCAAGGCTTTAGGGTTTGCATCTTACCGGGCTTTCAGGATTGAAAGCATTGGAGGAATTTGGGAGAGCTTCAGGTGTTGGGGCCTTTCGGTGGTGGCAGGGGCTTCTGGATTCAGCGATGACGGGCTCTCACTCCTAAGAACCCCCTTTCAAGGAGCTCGCAGACTGAGGTCAACTTTCAGTGCCGTCTTGGCTCCTTACAGCGAGCCCCCAGCTACAACAACGCCTCCGCTACAGCCACCACTATTGCTACTGCTTCTTCTTCTACTGCTGCTACCACTCGAACGACCGCTTTAGCAAACTTCACAACTACCGCTGCCACTACGCCGCCGCCAAACTGCCACTGCCAGTAACACTACGACGCCGACCACGACCACTAGTACTACTGCTGGTGCTAGAACTAACTAGTACTCATACGATCACATACGCATATTAACACCAAGAACTACAATACGAATACTGATGCTAATGCTGATGTTCATACTCAAGCCAAAACCAGTACCGAGGCCAAAACAAATTCCTACTAACGCGAAGAATACTCATTTTTACACCCATACCCCTCCTACTCCTAGTACTCCTACTACCACCACCGCCAACACCACCACCACCACCAGCACCACCACCACCACGACTACCCCTCCTACTCTACTACTACTACTACCACCACCGCCAACACCACCACCAGCAGCACCACCACCACCACGATTACCCCTCCTCCTCCTCCTCCTCCTACTACTACTACTACTACTGCTACTACTACAACGACAACAACTACTACTACCACTACCCACTACCCACTACCCACTACCCACTACCCACTACCCACTACCCACTACCCATACTACAACTACTACTACTACTACTACTACTACTACTACTACTACCACTACCACTACCACTACCACTACCACTACCACTACCACTACCACTACCACTACCACTACCACTACCACTACCACTACTACTGCTACTACTACTACTACTGACTACTACTACTACTACTATTTTCAATTGAACGCTGCGCGAGCGTGCTCTGCGCTTTGCGGGCGCTTACCGCTTTGGCACTCACTAATGGGTTAAAACCGACTTCGGCTCGATTCTGAATGGCAAGCGCAAATAAGAACACATAAAAACCCGCAGCATAAACCAAAACAAGGAAGGAGCAAGCCAATCCGAAATGAGCTTGAGCCTAAAGCCTGTGGAGGGCCTGCGAGTGCTCAAGACACTCTTGGCCTTGACGCGGGGCGGGCCATGCACACCTGTTGTGGGGTCCGGCCTTCCCACGCACAGGCACCCATGGACTGAATTCTTGCCCGCTATTTTTGGGCCAGCACCCACCCTTAAGGCAGATGTCGGCTTCACCGGCGTTCCAGAAAAAGTGAAAAGCTGCTCGAGTTTTCCTGCCCTGCGGGAGGCTGTGCCATATGCAGGGGAGCAGGCAGTCTGTGACTGAAGCTCTCTTCCTCAGCACGCGTTTGAGGCTGTGCTTGCGGCCGGGCAGCCGGCCTTCAACAGAGGCTAAGCGGCCTGAAATCCGACACGATCATGAACACAGGCTGTGGCAGGCGGCACGAGGGGACTGCCCATGCGAATATCGCAGGTACCTCCTTCATCCATTTTTGGAGCAAGGCCAGTGGCACGTTTTGCTCCGAGGCCTCGCGCTAGCCACCAACCGTGAAGTAAAACGAAACACAGAAACCGCTAAAAGCAAGGATAGAGAACGAATCCTGATTTCCAAGGCCAATCAGCCCCTCTGGAAGAGAGCTGCCTATGGCTTGAGCAGTTGCTTCACTGGACAATTCACTTGACTGTCTTTGCAACCTCCGTCACCCTCAGTGTGAGTCATTGCGTCCAATACTCACGAACTGGCAGCCCGTGGGTCGTACTCAGAAGAGCCGTCTCCCAAAGTTCCCGTCTAGTGGCGTCCCACACTAGGTAACTCCGGACTGCCAGCGATGGGCCGTAAGGAAGGATGTTCGTTGACCAAAGCACATAAGCCGTCACTCCTAGCACTGCCTGACCTCGTCAGTAACAGGATAGTAACGAACACAACTGGGAGGGCCGTAGCCGAAGCCCGCCACCCTTGGCACAGCAAGCGCGTCCGCTTTGCGACTGTACCCAGATGTGACGTGGAGCCGTACCAAAGTGCTGGGTCAAACTGACTCCCCGCGACTGTGTCGCCTCCTCCTGCCGTGTAGGTCGGCGCAAAGCACCTAGCTCCAGACTTGGGCCCAGGCGGAACTCGGGTGTCGCACGTAGAGCCGTACCAGAGGGGAAGCCACCGAAGGGTTGAGAACTCCAGCGCTGACCAGCAAGTCGCGCTTTGGTACCTGTTTAGCCACCCAGCGTTCCACGAAAGGAGCCCGACATTTGCGTCTTTGCTGTCCAGCGCGGCGGGAGGCTGTGCCATATGCCGAGTTGTGAGGCTGTGCCATAAACTGAAACTCGGGTGTCGCACGTAGAGCCGTACCAAAGGGGAAGCCACCGAAGGGTTGAGAGCTCCAGCGCTGACCAGCAAGTCGCGCTTTGGTGCCTTAAACTGGCTTTCCGCGACTGCGTCGCTTCTTTCCGGCTTCGTGGTGCTAGAGCTCCCAGTCGGCAGACAAGTGTCATGTCGTTCTTTCTGATATAGGAAAAATTGTGTGAGTGCGCTGTAAGCATCAGCGCCGTCCGCTGCTTTCATCAAGAGACCGAAGCCTAATGACTCCCTCCACTGCGCGGGAAGTGGAAACCCTACCGCCTACCCAGTGATGCAATGTTTGAATGCAACACAGTCTGGGCCCAGGAATTGGGACCTGGCGGATCAAAGCGGCACCTGTAGCAAAACGGAGAGGCACATGGCTCGGAGTAGGCACACACCCTTACTGTTCGGAAAAGGAGCCTGGTCGGGACCTCTAGTACAGAAGTTGCGCCCCAAGCCTGTTCGAAAGCCTCTCAACTGCGCGGCCGCTTGATCACTCGTGGCGGCTACTACTACTACTACTACTACTACTACTACTACTACTACTACTACTACTACTACTACTACTACTACTACTACTACTGACTACTACTACTACTACTACTACTACTACTACTACTACTACTACTACTACTACTACTACTACTACTACTACTACTACCCATCGCCGACGACGTATCTTGGCTTCGGAGCGTCTACTTGAAAAAGAAAGTCCAAAGCCCAAAACCGAAACACCCAAAAGCAACTCCAAACCCTCCTAAACCCGATTCGTAAGTCCAGCACTACACGATTCGTTGTTGCTGCCACGGATCCCAAGATATCCTGCGCGTCGGAGGAAGGGATGCCCCTGTGAGCAGCGTAACGTTTTGGGGTTTGGGGAATCAGGGCTTCGGGGTTATGGCGGTTTAGGATGTAGGGGTTTGGGGTTTAGGGTTTTAGGGTTTAGGGGTTTGGGGGTTTAGGGTTTAGGGGTTTAGGGTTTAGGGTTTAGGGGTTCTGCAGAAAGGATCTTTGTGATTTGGGGTTTGGGGTCGTGGGCCTGGGGTGTGGTTGGGAGACTGGAGTTTCAGGTTTGGGGTTTCCAGTTTGCTTTTCGGGGCTCCATGCTTGCAAAACTGAATACCTTGGGAATGTTCGAATCCTTTCGCAAATCCAAAAGACGAAAGAAAGGAGCGGGGAGCACGTTAACAGACCTGGCTCGGGGTTAAGGGTTTAGGACTTGGGGTTTCGTCTAGGGCTAGGGATTTAGGGCTTTATGGAGGGCCTTCAAGGCTTTAGGGTCTAGCCGCTAGCCTTTGGCAGCCGTGTTATGCAGAGGACACCGAACCCACATCCCAGCAGAGTGCAGGAGCTTAAGTACATAGAACAGGATGTTGGGCACAATCTGACATTGATTATCCCGACCCTTGTCTGAACCTAAGCCCGAACTTCAAAACCCTAAACTTCATATTTGTGGAGCATGTGAAGACCTCCCCATCCGATAGCATTTTCAAGCCCTGGGGTCGAAACGGAATAAGCCGGACCAAACGCATTCCAAGCTTCCACTTATGCGAGAAGTCCTTGATGTCATCCTGAGTGGTTTCAAGGCATTCCTCGCTTGACCAGGAGGTTTCGGTTGGGACCTTTTAGTTGAGAAGTTTAGGGGTTTAGGGGTTTACCTGAAGGCTCATGGGACTTAGTGAGTATGGTTATAAGTAGGTTACAATTAGGATAACTCCACTTTGGGGACATATACCTCCAGCAAGAACCTACTTACTAAGTACCATGATCCTCTAAGTAGGGGGTTGAAGCTGGGATCTCCATCAATACACAAGCCAGGGCCATGGACCCGACTCCTCCTGCAAGCACGTATCAATATGAAGCAAGGATTCTGAGTTGCTGCTATACGTATACTGGCATGTACCTATGCATGTACGTAGCCTCACTAAACCTCAAACGGCCCGAGCGTTTTCTAGCTTATACACGGTACCCCCGCGCGCAGGAGTATTTTGATGGCCTGAAAAATGACTGAGGCTTTCCGAGACTCAGGCATGCCAGGACCTTTCTGTAGTTAAGCCTGCAGTCTTCAAGGGTATACGTACTCGAGCTCATCGTGAATCTTACTTCCGATACATGTGCGCAGATGCTGATTTGCATCTGTGAGTGCACACGCACAAAAGCGATGCGAACAAGTGCTGACACAGACGCAGAGACACGGAGACAACCATGCACACATCCACACATCTCGCACAGATTCGCTTCTTCTGGTCTCCTAGATTGCAAGAGCACCTTTGGACCATGACGCATTCATGAGAGCTTCTTTGACATCCCCAACCCACATTGGACCCCATTTTTCGGAGGATCCGTAAGCATGGGACCTTGTCCCCTCAGAATGCTATAAGGGAGTTTCCGAAAATACGGGACCCTAATATAGTACCTTAAATAGTAGGATCCGTAAAAAAAGGACCCCAAATAAGGGACCCCTAATTTTCGGAAACTCCCATGACACTTTCGTGGCTTGGGATACACGACTCACACTCGAGTCCTCCATTTGCCACCTTGAACTGTAAGTAGTGCAAGATCAATACCCAGAGACTCCACTATCCCTGAATTAAGGAATATACCTTAGTTGTACCCGTAACATGAATTTAAGGAATGTTCCTTAGTTGGGGGCTATTGGAATCCCTGGATACACCCTAAACCCAGAGCATTGAACAGAATCCAAGATGTTGGTTCGGGTTTTCCAAGCATGACGGCTAAACGCAGAACCCCAGACCCTGCACCCCTGAGCCTAAACCGCTGAACCGTAAACCCTCAACTGCTCTGGGGTTTCAGGGCCGAAGCTCACAGCTACAGCCCTGAATCCCTGTGGAAGCCACGTGAAATTATAAACTCGAGCAAACAACCCCTAAAAAAGAATTCTAAAAAAAACAGACGACGCACACAGAGTGTCAAACTGCCACATAATTATTTGAATGTCGTAGCTAACCGCTCCGTTATCAGACCCTGAACCTGAAACCCTAAACTCTGCACCCCTAGCCCTAAACCCTAAACCCCAAAAGCCGGTCCCCATCAATTTTTGGGGCTGCTTGTTGATGGTTAGATACGACTATGTTATTGTTATTCTTGATATCACTATTATTAATATTTGGTTTATTCTTAGTATTGTTACTATTCCTATCATTACAACGACTACTATTACAACGGCTACTATTAGTTGCAACTATTCCTATCATTTTTATTCTTACTAGTGCTATTATTCTAACTGCACCCCTTCAGCTCACCAGGGAACCCAAGTTTGCTTCGTGAATCCATTGTGGATGCAGCTGCCGACATAACCTGGGTTTTGTTTAGGGCTTTGGTTTTAGGGTTTAGGGTAGCATTTGGGGTTTAGTAGCACTTAGGGTCTAGGGTTTACAGGTTGAGGGTTGAGGGTTTAGGCTTAGGGTAAGGCGCGTAAGGGAAATTGGGAGATGGTTCTTAAATGCGCCCTTAGTAGGTGCACATGATAGTGCATGTATATACCTGTACATGTGACATCGCCTTCTTGAGCTGAAGATACCAAACTCCTGTAATTATATCTTTTTCGGGGGCTGCTCCTCATTTCGCGAAGCCTTTTTACGTAGACTCTTTTGAGTTTACAGCTACAGGGGTTCATAGTATTAGTTTAGGTCCCTGCATTCACAAGCAACCTGGAGATCAGCACAGCGAAGTTCGGGTTCCAAGTCGACGGCATCACACCATAATTAAGGGCCACTATATCATAGGGATCCTTAGGGGTGTAGGGGGGAGGGGTGTAGGGGACTATATTTCCTTAACTAGGCCTTATTAGTCCTTATTATGGGCCTTAAGGCCCCCTACCCCCCCTCCCCCTACACCCCTAAGGATCCCTATGACTATAACTATAAGAGTCCTGTAGGAGGCTCTTTTAAAGGGTTCTGGAGTACCATAGGGTTTAGGGCTTTAGGGGCTTAGGGCCTTAGGGTGAAAGTGACAGAATGGACAGGATGCAACCCTACGAATTTCGCAGAACCCCCAACCCTAAACCCTAAACCCTAAACCCTAAACCCCTAAACCCTAAACCCTAAACCCCTGATTTTGGGATCTTCAGCTTCAGGCCCTGAAACATGCAGGGTCTATCAAGCGGGGTGCAGTGTCCTTCGCCTCAAGCCTCACCGACTGGTTTCTTGAATTGATGAACAAATTAGAGTAATAAGGAAAGTATGTCACATGTTATGCATCTGTTATGGCAGCTTAAACTAAGTTCCTTAAGCTCCGGATCTTTGTGAGTGACCTCTCACTCTGAAAATTGCAAACACAACGCTGGTGACTGAAATTCTAGGACTATCACAGATGATATAAATCCTGCATTACCCAAAATAGGGAATATACCTTAATTCCCATAGTCTAGGGTCATTAAGGTCCAGCAGGATTTATATCATATCCCTAAACCCTAAACCCCTATTAAACTCTATTACACCCTAAAGCCTATAGATCCCTTAGAGGAGCCCTGAAGGGATGTAGATCATCAACCGTAGGACTACTTAAAGGCTCACGGGACTTAGTAAGTAAGGTTATAAGCAGGCTATAGTTAGGATAACCCCACTTAGGGGACTTAGGGGTTTAGGGGTTTAGGGATTTAAGGTTCAGGGGTTTAGGGGTTTAGGGATTTAAGGTTTAGGGGTTTAGGGGTTTAGGGATTTAAGGTTCAGGGGTTTAGGGGTTTAGGGATTAAAGGTTTAGGGGTTTAGGGGTTCAGGGCTTAGGGGTCTAGGGGTTTGGGGTTTTGAGGCTTCAGGTGCAGGGTTAAGGACAATGTAGGAACCTGATTAAGAAACCCTGGGCCCGTATAAGGGTCCCTTTAAAGGGGTCTATAAGGGTTACTATAAGGGATGTAGAAGGGTACTATAATGATGTAGGAACCTAATTAAGAAACCCTGGGGCTATAACCCCCAATATAACGGGGTTCATAGGAGCCCTAACAAACGCCCAAGGTTGCTTGATCAGGCTCCTACATTATCATGTGCTTCCGTATCCCCAAAACACGAAACCCAAGTTCATGATGGACAGAGAGAGAACTGCACCCTAAATCCTACACCCTAGCTAGTAAGCCAGCCAGACACAATGCCCTGAAACTGCGCCCCACCCCCCCCACCTCCAAATCCCTTGAAAGTGCACAGAAAAAGACGGGGTATCTAGATCTGTAAATCCACAAGCATGGCACAACAGCAAAACCCAGCGCCCCGAAATCTCGAAACCCCTACTCCTATTCAGCCCTATAGAGTCAGCAGCTCTTCTTAATTTAAGCCTCCTATCATCAACAACAGGATCGTCTTCCGTAATCAGAGGCCACCTACCAAAACATGCATTCACCCCGGAATTAAACCCTGACGCCCTGAAGCCTAGAACCTGGAACCCCAAAGCCTTTAACCCTGAACTCCAAGCCCTAAAGCCCTAAACCCAAACATCCTAAACCCTAATGGCCCAACAAAACCATCAGCCGGGAAGCTCTTCAGGAGTACGATTTTGGGGCCTGCATCAAAAAGGCATTGTCGTTTACGGTTTAGGGATAAGATTATAGAGGTTAGGGGTTTAGCGGTTTAGGGTTTAGGGTTTAGGGTTTAGGTTTAGGGTTAGGGTTTAGGCCAGTAGTCAGGGCTTCGTTGAAGGCTTCGCTTGCCGGTCGTTTGAGGCTTGCGGATACGGGTTTAGCGATGGCATGGAAGCTGACACCTGCTGCCCTTTGCCAGACAAAGTGAAGTCATGCAAATATGCGCTAATCTAATACAGGGGCCTTCATTCGCAGAATATGCTGTTGGTGTAAATTACGGTTTAGCTGTATGACTATAGGGGAATTATGCTGCGTTAAAAAAAGCAGTCAACCTGGCCGGGAACCGTCACTAAACCCTGAACCGTACCTTAGCCTGCCAACACCTACTTTTTTGTAGGTTCGTATTGTGAATCCTGATATAGACCATATAGGGACCCTACCAGAACAATAGTAGGTTTTGGTGGCTTAAGGTAGACCCTAACCAAACACTCCGATCCCTGAACCCTAAAAAGCTTCTTGAAGAGCTTACCTGGGGACTCCAAGACCCCTTCATGAGGGAGTTATACCGTTATACCCTAGATTTTGATGTATGCTCCATAATCAAAACAGAAAACACCTTAGTACGGTCGTGTAATTAAGAGGCTTCGGGGTCTTATAGTGCAACAACCCGTTGAATCCCTCGCTCTCCACCGGCCTCCGCCCCTGTGAACAAGTAGTTCGACCCACTAGCTTGAGCAACGAAGTCGACTCATGCCCCCACCCTCTTCCCCTCAGACCCCTGACACAAGGGAGGGTTTGGGCCTCCTCCACAATGAATAAATAGCATACTTTTTGAACTGGCGCAGTAATTACTCCGCTGACGGCTAGCGTGGGACAAAGGGAATTCGTCACTTTGAAGCACTCTGCTACTCGGCAAGAGGCTGCAACACGCAACGGCTAGAAAAAATGCCCTGTAGCTGAAAACTTTCGGCCCAAGAAGCACTGAGCACAAAAGCAGAGAAGCACCATCAGACGGTTTTGGGTCCAGGGCTTTTGGAAGGGTCCATGCTCATACAGCACCATCGAGCCCTACGAAATCTCGTTTCCTCCCCAGACCCGCCCAACAACCCTAAACTGGGCTTTGAAATACCCCAAGAGCAGAATGACAGAAAGTATAGACCTGGGTGGTTGTCAATACTAGGGTCCCTTTTTGGGTCCCTATTACAATACGGCACCTAATATTTAGGATACCCCCAAAAGGGACCATAATTTTGAAAGCCACCCACCTGTTGTTTCATAATGGCTCCTTTGAGGCGCAGGTCCCCAAGAAAAGCATTCAAGTATGGTGCTCCGAAACCCGGTAATACCATAATAAAACTATAATGACACTATTATAGAACTACTGTAGTAAACCTATAATAACACCATAATGATACTATTATAATAGTACGATAAAATACACAAATACTGTAATAATACTATACATAATACTGTACTAATACCAAAACTATACTCTAATAATGCTAGAGTAATACTACAACCTCAAGGAAGGCCCAGGATTCACTGCAACGCGGGTGCGCCTTTGTGAGGGCTCGCCTTGAACCTGTGGCTTGGGATCGATGGATGGCTTTCGGGATTCAGGAGTTTAGGGTTTAAGGTTTAGGCTTTCGAGATTGGGGTTTAGGGTTTAGGTAGCGACAGCAGTCATAACCCTAAGTCCTAAGCCCTATATAGAAGCACGCTAGATTCAAAGGGAGGACACGGAGTGCGCTTTCCGTCCGAAGGCCTGTCACGAGGCATACCAATAGAGAGTATTTGGAGTAAATGGTGACTGTTGGGTAGTCGAAGCCCTGCCTCCCAAGCCGCAAGAGGTACTCAACTCTCCATCCCAGATTCAAAAATCTACACACAATGATCAAATTTGTATATACGTTTTCGGAACAAGCTAGGCTCCTTATGATAAAAGCAAATGAAGACCCTACAATATGGGGTGAAATGGGTCGCTGGGAAAACACGCCTTCGCATCACCAGCTTTTGTTGCTCCGTGGTCAAGCGCTCGAAGACTTCCATGACCTAGCTACCGCTTCGGTCTTTTTGGAAGTTCATGGTGCTTCAAGCCGAACATGTCCCACAAAGCTCATGAAAAGCACTCCCTGGTGGGGACTGCATGTGGCTGACCCCGCACCTAGCTGCTGGAATTGATAGTGAAATGCTATTATGCCTGACTGATGCAGGATGCTCGTCACTGTTGAGATGATAGCGTTACACATATACATATACATGTACATGTACAGACATATACTACATGTACATGTACATGTACATATACTTACACATTTCCATATACATATACATACACTCATGCATGTACATACACACATATGTAGGTAGACATCTGGATAGGTAGATATGTCAATTCAGTAGATAGTTTCATAGACAGACAGACAAACAGACAGACGGAATGGAGATAGGGGATTATTCTACTCAGCATAGAGACCTCTGTATTACACCCAGGAAAGCTGACAAAGATGGAAGCCTCAAAGCCCAAACCTGACCCCAACATCCTTGAGTTAAGCAAAATATGACATACATTATTCATGGTTATTAGGATTTAGGGTTCAGGGTTGTTTTTTTAGGGGAGGTGACCCCCCCCCATCCCGCTGTTGATTCGGCGTTTAGGGCTCAAGGTTCCTCACCAGTCTGGTATACAGGTCGCAGGGTGCAGAACTATTTGGGTAGTTGTCAAAATTACAGTCCCTGTTTCGGGTATCCTAAATATTAGGTGCCGTATTATAATCGGGACCACAAAAGGGACCCTAACATTGACAACCACCCATTTGCGGATGGGGGTTAGGCAGTCTAAGATTTCAGGGGTGCCTCCCAAAAACTTAAGTTATGAAGCACTCCGTTTTTCCGCGAAAAGCCTCCAACCGTCCTGCAGTGAGCGTTGCATGATTGGACTTTGGATTGCGAAGCTTCAAGAATTAAAGAAGCCTATGACCAGGACAGCGCGGCGGGCCCATGACACGAGACGAGACCCTCCCTACCCGCCAACCCGCCTTCTTCTGGACTGCAGAATCAACAAAACCGAAAGTGAAGCTCCCCAAATCGACAAATGTAGCTGACGTCTGAGCACTAAGCTCAATTGTCTGAACCTAAACTGAGCCCGCTACCCTACGCGATAGCTGTACTTATAGAACCATGGGAGTTAGTAAGTAGGTTATGATTGGGGTTATAAGTCCCCTAAGTGGGGTTCTCCTAATTATAACCCTACTTATAACCTTACCTATAATCTTACCTACTAACTCCCGTGAGCCTTTAAGTATAAATTCCACGCACAGGAGCTTGGTCAATCGGCATGTCCCACCTTTCGGCGAAGCATCGGACCTGCAGCACGGACGAGTGTCTCAATCGCTTCCTAGGTCGGGACTTATGCGACCGAGTCCAACACCAGTACAGTAGCGGTGGTGGTCGTAGCAGGTTTTATTGTCGTCGTCGTAAGGGTGGTAAAAGTGTAGTAGCATAGCTATGCGTAGTGGTAGTGGTAATGGCAGTGACATTCAGCGGTAGCGGCAGTGGTCGTAGTCGCAGTGGTGGTCTTGGTGCTGGTGCTGGTGATGGCGCTGGTGGCGGTGGCGGCGGCAGTGGTGCTATTTATGTAGCCGTCGTCGTCGAGGTCGTTTTGCTGCCCCTGCGGAGGAGGAGACAACGACCGCTGCCAAATATCTGCAAGAACTAGAGTCCTGAAGAAGCAAGGGCAGCAAGGACTTTGGCTTTCGCCAGATCCGCCTCCTCGTACAGAAGGTCGTTGATGCACTTTTTCCTGGGTTGCTAGCAGCCAAGCCCCCAGACACCTCTAGAACTCTTCGGGTATTCTTGGCGCGGGGTAGGGTTTAGGGTTTATCACGAACCCTTTTGTAAAATCACAGCTCTACAGGGCACAGTCCAAGAGCCCAATTACTAGGAACAGTGTTTGGGGGAGTTGTAATCTACTCGGTTTTATTGCAAGGACCATAAAAGAGCATATTGCTATCAAGTACTTAGGCTCGTAGATGTCCTTGATTCGCCTGAACTGTAAACAACCCACAGACTGGCTTGCAAGCATAGGCTTGGCGTTTGGCGCTAAGGGCTTTGTGTTTAGGGTTAGGTAACTGCAACTAGCCCGAGCTCCGAGAAGCAGAAATACAGAGGGTCTCGTGCGAGTGTCCAGTGTTGTTTGAGGAATTCACCATTGAGATGTAAGGCCTCTCCCAACATGCACCCAAAAGGTTCCAAGGTCTGTTGAATATAATCAGAAAATAGAGGGGCTTAAACTCGGAGGAAGTCAAGAAGTCAAACCTTTTGCTTTGAGGACCTATGTAGGCTGTCTGCTGCTTGTTTAACCCTCGCATCCCCTAACCGAATACCCTAAACGATGGATTCTTTCTTCGTGGACTTGCCGAAGTTCCGGGGAACCCACTCTCCTTCACCGAAGTATTCGGGACCTGTACGAGGGCCTCTTCAATTCCGGATCCGTTTTGGGCGATCTAGCAGACACCAGTGTCCTGCACACCATCATTCTCGGGAGTTTGCTATACATATCATTGTAAACCCTGACTGCCGAAGCCCTGCCGACCGTAGCGCATTCAAACTAAAGGGATTGCTACTCAGCGGTCTACACTAGTCTTCATCACCATTGCATTATCGCAAATGTCACACCAATGCATGTATCACCTTCAATAACGTCAGTCTTCCTCCGAAGCTTATGGGGTTGCTTGCCGTACCGCAAGCCAAATGCTCAAAGCTTCTATCTTTAAGCAGAGAATCGAAATTGCTTAGGGCTTATGCAGTGTATGCGGAGCGCGGGGGAGTTTGACGCAATGTGGAGATCAGGCAAGACAAAATGTGGGTATTCAACACTCTTCCGAATTGCACAGCAGCAAGCTTAAGCAGTCATCCGGCGCATGAAGTGAAGCAATCTTGAATTGGATTTGTCACACTTCCCCAGCCAAATCGGGTGTTTAGGTTCGAAGTTAGTCTAGTGGAAAGAACCTCCTGAAAGCAGAAGCCAGCGTCAGCCGCTTCAGACCATCTTCGACCCAATCGTTGTTGCTATCCTGTCAAGGAAGTGGCCCCATGGATGGGTCCCGGCTACCTTCTATCCACATGCTAGTTCTAGGTTACCAAGTTGGGGAACAGTACAGAAAAGGACTCACAAATTGAAGCAGCCACCTACATGTTTAGGCATTTGCACAGCGTCCCCGCAAAAAAAATGACATAAATGAAGCCTGCACAGTAGGTTCTGAAGTTTCGGCTTTCAGGTTTATCAGTCACCTTTCTACAGCCGAGGCTTCCTGTCTACAGCTTTCATCAGCGCCGGTATGGTGTTGCTGGGGCAAACTCCTTACGCCTTTTGAAACTCAAAACCCTAACACCGTACATCAACCAGACCTGGAAGCACCAAAACCCTTCGAAAACTCTACGTCTCACCAACAGTGAGGCACTAAAGCCGGAAATCTCCTCAGAGCCAAAAACCCTGCAGGAAAACAGACCCAACCCTTAACTAACCTAAAAAAATCGTTCATGAAGGCCTGCCTCTGCAGGAAGAGAGTTTCCGGTCTTTGTGGAAGCTGCTGCGCTATCGGGACTGGAATGCACGTGGTCTTCCTCCTGGCCACAATTTGCCAAACGAACCCCAAGGGAAGGTTCAGGGTTTATGGTCCACTCTCGCTTAGTATTGAGAGTCTGGGTATGAAGATTGCTTGGCGCTCAGGGTTTCAAGTTTAGAGTTTAGAGCTTGGGCTTAGGATTTTGTGCTTTGCGGCTAAGTTAGGCTCCTACAAGGCCTCCATTAGGCCAAGGATAGGCCATTGTAGAACCCGCCAGAACAGTTTTCATCAGAATGCGTTCTAAGCCCTTTAAACCCTTACCAAACCCCGTGAAGCCCTTGTAAAACCCCTGTTTTGACATATCCTGGCCGTTGGGTCAAAGCCCTTCTGGAATCCAACAAAAACACTAAATCCTACACAAAGCCTTACAAAGCCTTGTGCTTGAACCCTGAACCATAATATAGGGGCCTAACTAATTACCAATACTATTTTGGTGGGTTCCTGATTATACTTAGACTATACTGGGCTCCAAAACCCTATTCTAATTATTAAGGCCCCTATTCTAAATCCCACCATACCCCTTATAGTACTCCGTATAAACCCCTTTACCGGAACCCTATTCTAATTATTCAGGCCCCTGTATTAAACCCGAAACCCTAAACCCTAAACCCTAAAAACTGAACCCTAAACCCCAAACCCTTACCTTTCCCGGCCTTTTGGTCTCTACCCCAGCGGCCTTTCCGAACACCGCCGGGGGAGGTGCCTTCCTAGAGAGTGGAGGTCTTTTGAGGGTTTAAAGTTTAGGGTCTACTTGAAGGCTCATGGGACTTAGTAAGTAAGGTTATAAGTAGGTTATAATTAGGATAACCCCACTTAGGGGACTTATAACCCGAATTATAACCTACTGACTAAGTCCCATGATCCTCTAAGTAGTTAAGGTTTCCTTCGGGTGTAGGGTTTGGGGTGAAGGGGTGGCTGAAGCTATAAGGTTTTGGAATCAGGTTTTGGGGCTTGCAGTTAAGCTCCACATTAGGATCCACATTTTGGTTTGGGGTTGAGGGCAAAGAACTAATCGCTCAACCCTGAGATGCAGCAGCAGTAAGGAGGCGAAACAAACAAAGGGGCCGTTTTGGCGGCGGCGCCACTGCTGCCTAGCTCTCAAATCTCACACCCTCCCCCTCTTATAGGATCCTTAAGGGAGGGTGGTTCAAGGGGGGAGGGTATAAGGAATCCTTAGGGGACTGTAAGGGAACCTTAGGGAGTACTAGGGAGAATAAGGGATCACTAGGCTATATACCCCCCTTGGACCCCCCTCCCTTAAGGATACTACAACCCTCGAAACTCGTGCTGCATCGACTTCGGTCCTAAAGCCGAGGCCGCAATCTCACTATTTGGGAGTTTCCGAAAATTGGGGGGTACCTTATTTTAGGGGTCCTTATAAGGATCCTATTATTTAGGGTACTACGTCAGGGTCCCCTATTTTCGGAAATCCCCATTTTCGTGTATCCGAAAGTCTTCAACCGTGGTCTCGGATCACACCGTCCAAATCTAAGCTTGCCCTCGAGAAGCGGAACCTTGGTCTTGTATTTCGATGGCCGTAAACTGGAAAACCACCCGACTGTTCGTGCAGCAGTCTGTCTGTAGCTACACCTTTGGCGACTGCCCCTGCCCCCGATACAAAAGATGATAAACCAGACAAGAATGGTGTTTAGATATAGGCACCAAGTTGAATTCCCAGCACAGGGAATGCACAATAAAGCTCAAAAACCTTCGGGAAGTGAAATAGATTCTGATCCCACACACCCAACTAAATGGGTCCATGTGGCTGACTGCCAAGCATGAAGCCGCCTCATCATCGCGATTCTACGAGGATCTCTTTTCTCTACGGGAGTTCTAGGCCCTACAGCCGGGGATCGTAACAAGCTCTTTAAGAGCTTCTGGACTTTTACACAGGCCGTATACAGTCGGATCCCAGTTTATGTATGCATGCATGTATGTTTGTTTGTTTGTATGTATGAACACACGAATGTGTCTACATGCGTATGAACGTACCTATGCACGTACGTATGTATGCATGCATGCGTGCATGCATGTACATATACATACACATGTCCATATACATTTACACATACAGGTACATACACATAAAATTATATATATACATATATATATATACCTATGTATATATATGTATATGTATATATATATATATATACATATACATGTACATATACATGTACATATACATATACATATACATATACATATACATATATACATATATACATATATACATATATACATATATACATATATACATATACATATACATATACATATACATACATATATATATATATATATATATATCATAGACGCATCTACATATGTGTATATTCATATACATGCATATGCATGCGCACTAACTAGAACGGCACCGGAAGTTTCAGGTACGGCCCTGAAACATGTGTTGACATACATATATATATATATGATAAACGTTTAGGTTCTGTGTGTGTATACATATATGTATGATACATACGTACATACATAAATATATATAAATATATATATATATATATATATATATATATATATATATATATATTTATATTTATATATACAGGTAGATAGATAGATAGATAGATAGATCGATCGATAGATCGATAGATCGATAGATCAATGTAAATGTTTATATGTACACACATTACATCTATAGCTATATGTATACTAAATGTCCGTATATGTCTATATATGTATAATTAGATGTATCCATGTGTAAAAGCATATATGCAAACACGTACGAACACGGATCCACCCATACATGCATGTACATGCAGATATACATACGCACATCCATGCACATATACACACACACACACACATTCATACACATAGACTTACCTATCTAGCTATCTATTTGCCTGCATGCACACCTACATGCACAAGATATTCTACTAGATACTATGTATAGCGCGGCTGATAAGGTTCCAACGGTGCAGGCAAAAGGGCTCCGTGGCCCAGTCCAAGCGCTTGCCAAGGTCGTCCCTCGGATCAGGCTGCGGGCGCATGAGGCGCTTAGAATAACTCGAAACAATGAACCCTGCACCTTAAACATACACCCGAGGTAAGCCTTGTGATACTGTGAATCGCATGACTGGAAGAATCTCAGGGGTAGCTGACTTCAAGCAAGATTGTCCGGACTCTACTAAGCCCGAAATCAATGCCTAGCAAAGCAGGAAACACAAACAGATGGCACCGAGATTCTCCACCTCCCGATGTCGCGCACGCTCCTGCAAGAGCCTTACATGGACTTCAGAAGAAGCTAAGCCTCATGGCTTCCGACGAGTAGACATCAGCCAAGACTCGCCTGTTCGGTCTAATATAGGGGCCATAATAAGTAGAATAGGGTTTTGGGGCCCATGATACTATAATCGAATTAAGGAACTCCAAAATGGCTGTGCTACAACCTCAACTGCCTGCTTAGTCCTTCGCTTCCCGGCTTGATTCCCCTAGACCCTAAACGCTGCAACCCTAAACATGTGAACTTCCTAAACCCTTTAAGGGCAAAGCTTGGGGTACGGCCCCCATACAGTAACAGTCTATAATAGGGCTACTATTAAGGGCCTTTTCTATCTATATTCTGAATATTATCCAACTGTTACTGAGTGGTAGCCGTACCCAAGGCAAAGCGACCATGCATCCGAAGCAAAAGGCTTTACACACACACACACACACACACACACACACACACACACACACACACGCCATCTAGCGTTCCGAGTATGCGTGTTGGGCAGCAGCTCGAGGACTTCAATGTGGAAAATCATATGATTAGATACCCAGAAAACCCGATACCCCTTTATCAAGAAATATAGCTGAGTTCATAATTTGAAGCCCCTTCTGTTTTAAGGTAGCTCTCTGGGTAGGGGGCTTCAAAACTAGAGTAGAGTTCAGGCTTGGGGTCTAGGAGCCTCAACAATTCGGATGCGGTTCTGGGGCACAGGGCCTAAACCCTAAACCGCAACCAAAGTTTCGAGCGAGTTGCCGTTCTTCAGCATCCTTGACTCGCGCCAATAGCGCCTTCGCCTTAAACCCGAAAGGTCTCACTGCGGGTGGGTGACAGTCCCTTTGAATACTATAGCTCTTTTGATGATTAAAAACAGGGTTCTATACGTTCTCAAAAGGTTTTATAGGGGTCGTAATCGTTGGAATAAGGTATTGAGGTATGTGATAGCACGTCGTATGGAGGCTAGAAGAAGATGTGTCTACTAATTAGTCAGGACCTCCATATAATCCTCATACAATCTAACTATCACCTTACTTACTAAGTCCCATGAGCCTTTAAGTAGACCCTGAACCTTAGGTCCTTAAAGGGAGCCCTATTACAGAACCCTCTAGTACCCTTAGATAAGGAACCCTAAACCTTTCTAAAGGTTTGAGCTCCCAAGCAGATTCCAGCGCGACATCCGCAAAAAGTACTCTACAGATTAAATTCCTGAGAACTGGAGGGGCTCCTTCGTAGCCAGATGTTGTGGTCCCGAAGCACCATGCTTGTATGCAATTTTTGCATTTGTCCATGTAGAAGCTGTTCAAGGAGCCAAGAGTCGCTTTCACGGCTGAGCACCAGCACATACAGCAGCTTCAGCTCGATGCCAGGAAGAAGACATCGCTTTCTGTAGGTGTGGAGGAGCGTCGTAGCGGGATGTCCGCGTTGCCACGGCGAGACATGCATCGAGGTCTTCCCTACCTTGATGAACTTGCATTCGCCGTCCTGCATGACAGCCGCCATGTGTAGCAGTCCCAGAGGGCCGCTGCTCTGCATCAGGGAGGCAAGCTTCACGGCCAAATAAATCAAGGCAGCGGACTGAAAGGCAAACGTGTGTAATGTGGACCACAGATGAATAATCCCCTTAGCTTGTTTGGTTCGAAGTGAAAACACTTAGAGGAGTATGGGACTTAGTAAGTAGGTTATAATTGGGGTTATAAGTCCCCTAAGTGAGTTATCCTCATACAATCTAACTATCACCTTACTTACTAAGTCCCATGAGCCTTTAAGCAGTCCCTGAACCCTAGATCCTTAAAGGGAGCCCTATTACAGAACCCTCTAGTACCCTTAGATAAGGAACCCTAAACCTTTCTAAAGGTTTGAGCTCCCAAGCAGATTCCAGCGCGACATCCGCAAAAAGTACTCTACAGATTAAATTCCTTGTGTTTGTGCCCAAACATGTCCGACATCCCGTGCGGTGAGGCCTTCTTGAAGCCTAAACTGCCCCTGCATCTAAAATGGGGTCTCGGGGCCTAGGACAGTATCCCACACAGGGAGTAATCGCACCCCAAATAGTACGGCACCCTGAGAAAAAGGGCCCCCAGAGGGACCCTGGTTTAGAGAATTACCCATTTACGAAAAACACTGCCCTGCTTCGCCTCGCTCTGCTCGCGTGTCAGTTCATCCAAGCGCGCAGCAGCGCGCGCTTCACCTCGGGCTCTGGAAGGGGTTAGGGTCTGATATGGGGGCCTTCATACTTTACTGATCATAGGGAAGACAAGACTAACATTGGCTTTTTAAACTTGTATCGTAGGGTTCAGTTTCTTCGAGCACTGGAAGCAGGCCATTCAAGCTTGGAGGATTGGGTGTGTCATTGAGGTCCGGGGCAGTTTTGGGTTCAACGGATTCAGGTTTAGGGTTTAAAGAAATTCTCGGCGTGAGCGGAGAATCGGCACTGCATCCAAGAGATGACCCAGAACTCCTCCTGAAGCCCAAATGTCATGCGAAAGTCCCAAATCGCGGCACAGTTTAGCTTACGTTTCCATGCGGGCACTAAGAACCATCTGCCATAAAGTTGATGTAGCCTCAGACCGAAATTGAAAATGCCCATCCACTCTGCCACGGTCTGCCCAAAATCTCAACCATCTGTCTGTTTGTCTGTCTGCTGTTTTATCTATCTATCTACCTATCGAAATGATGTATCTATCTATCCATCTATCTGTCAGTCTATCTCTCTAGAAATTTATGGTCGAAGCCCCCGGTTGACAGACCATGCCGTTTCAAGAGAGTCGTAGCGCACGGTTTGTCATCGGATGGGTGACCAACAGCCCTCCCAAAATCAATTCAAACATTTCCAAAATTCTCGCCTCTAACTTTCCTGATTTTCAGAAAGTCAAAGAAGATTGGAACAACAAAATTTTCACAAATTCCAGAAATTCCAAAATTCCAAAAAGTTCGCCCTTATGTGTTGGAAAAGTCCTGTCCACTAGGTCTGTGGGATTTTGGAGATTTATGAGATTTTGGATTGTCCAAATATTCCAAAATTTCCAAAAAGGTAGCCCTTATGTTTTGGAAAAATCCCATCCACGAGGTCCGGGGATTTTGGAAATTTGGGAATCTCTGGAAGTTTTGGAATTCTTGGAAATCGTGGAATTGATTTCAGGAAGGCCGATTGTGACCCATCCGATGACAGACCATGCCCTACGACTCACTTGCAAAGGCAAGGTCTGGCAATACTGATGCCCATATTTAGACGAAGATCAAAAAGTACATATATAAAAAGGGAGATATATGTAAAGATACTCCTACGAATACTAGTACCAATAGCAATACTGACATTGACCAGTTGTTGAATGCTCAGGCTAATACCGGCATTCATACTCATAAACACTGTTAGGAAACCTAATACGAATATGCATAATACAAATAATATTAGTGAATACTGACATTAATACTCCTACGCATATCAAAAATCATATTCATTTTGGTATTCGTGTATATGAATACCAATACCAATACACCCCTGCATATACTAATGTACAGGATTTTTCATACCACTATATTAAAATACAATTGCATTAACTCATTCATGTATTCATCTGTTAGTATTTTCATGTAATCAAGAATAATACCAATACAAAGAGCACTGCGAACACAAATCATCATATAAATATAAATACCAACACTAACACTATTACTAGTACTAGTCACACTGCTTATACTAACATCAATATTTACATAAGCCTTTATACTCGTACGAATACTAATACGTATACTCTTATGGTGTTAACAATAATGCCATTACCAATAATAGCAATACTGAGATTGATAATTTGTTGAATATTCAAGACAATGCCAGTATTGATACCAGCATTAACACCTATGCTAAGGCTAATACGATTATGAACAAAATATTCACGTTAATGCTCCTACGAATACCAGTACTCATACTCGTACTGATATGAGTACTAGTACCATTACGAATGAACACCTGCATATACTAATGGACAAATACATACCTTTAAGTTGAAAAACAGGTATATACTAATGCATTCATGTACTAATGCTTTTGGATAACCATATATCCATATGCCATGACAAATTACTATACTAATATGCCAACATACTGATACACTCATAAATCATTAGACAATACACGAATATTGTGCATATACGAATATAGTACATATACTAGTATACGAATATACTAATGTACGAATATACTGGTATCTTAATATACTAAAATACCAATACACCCACGCACCAATTGTACTAACATGTTAAATATACTATTGTAAAAGTATACACATATGTTGCCGCCCGAATACACTAATGTATTGGTAGGCAAATCTGCTAATATACGAAACTATCAATACATTCACCATATCAAAACTAATTCTAATATTGATTCAACTGATACTAATACCATCACTTCTGCGAATATTAACTGATATTAGACCCAGCATTATGACTGGTACTAGTACTAGCAGTGGTACTATTACTGACATTGACGTTGGCACACTAAACCGAACAAGAACATGAGGACTAACAATATTGACATGTATACTTACAGTAAACACTAATACCAATACTAATATGAATACTAATACTATATCCTTGCTACCGCAAAACTACTAACTCATGTGCCGCGCGTCTGGTGCATGCGTCCTCAGTACATGGCATGTTAAAAGTATGCGTTGTACATCTACTGTAAAGGTTTTCCTTTACAGATTATCGTTGTGCGTGGTGTGTGTTTAGATACAATATCTCAGCCGAGTCACCTGCCAAGAGTACACTGTCACACGGGCAATGTCTGTCAACGGGGGGGGGGAGCAAAATTATCTATCCGTCAGTCTGTCCGTCTGTGTTGTCTATCCATCTATCCATCTATCTGCCCAGCCTTTCTAATCTATCTGTCTACCTATCTACTTGTCAATCTCTCTACCTATCTACCTGCCTAGGCTATACAAGTATCTATCAACCTACCTATCTATCTATCTATCTGTTTGTCTATCCATCTATCCGAATCTGTCGGTCTATCCATATACCTAACTGTCTATCTAACTATCTCCCGATGCATCGACCCCCTACCTACCTACCTCTCTATCTACCTATCCATCTGTCCATCGATCTATCGGTCTATCAAACTATCTAGCTATCGATGTATCTGTCTAGACAGGTGTGCAGCCATGCAAGTATATACATATATACACTTATACATATTTAAAACAAGTATATGTATATACACACACAGAACCCATCCATGCGCATAGGTTCATCCAGGCATCCATCCCTCCATCCAACCATCCAATCATGCATGGCGAGGGAGAGAAAGAGAGAGAGAGAGAGACAGAGCTAGATCGAGAGAGACAGCAAGGGACAAAGACAGGGTATATCGATAAAGAAGACATCCTGTTTCTACCCTCGATGTTTACTCAAACCAACTGCTCTTCCATAGTCAGTCAAAGCACGTGTTCGCATCTCGGCTACGGTCGCCTCAAGATCCTGCCCCAGGCAGTAACCCAGCCCTTAGCATGCGGTGTCGTCTTAGTTTTCCCGCTGCTCTTCTAGCCGGCATCATTCAAGCAGTTGCTTCTGTCGGGTGACATGACCTAGCTCCACAGCATCCGTCCAAAGAACCACACGAGCAGAATCACGTTCGTCTGCCCCAGACGAAACACCAGCTCAAGACAAAAACACAACCTTGAAGCCATTGGCGTCCTCCTGCTCGGCCAAGAGCTCATCTACTCGTGCCGAAAGGCCAGACTCACCTCAGACATCGCAGATTACAGGATTCCAGCTCCTGCCTAAAGTAGGATCTTTAGTGTAACGGTGCCGTACAATTATTGGGAAAACTTAAGTGGTGCAAAAACCATGTTGAAACTGATTGTGACGATGAAGACTGCACTGCAAATCTTGCGGTGACTGCTCACTCTTGCGCCATCTTCTTCAAACCATCACCGCTCATGGCATCATGACCAGTATTGCCTTTAGTGCTGATTACTACTAGCTAGCCGGTTATTAGTACTGATGCAAAACATGCTACGGTGAAAACCTGTTGCAGCAACACCTGTACCAGACATACATGGCGAATCTGGATTCGGCAGTGTATCGTCGCATGCTTTACCGTGCCATTACCGTCAACGCTGTAAGTACGGTACCACTTTGGCTGAGTCTCGTGACTTCGTGACTTATTGCTACTGTCAGCACCAACCTTAGCAGCCGCATGCCTACTCATGATACCAATTACTGATATGTTGCGACGGTTCTGTTAATACGTCTAGTGTACTTGATATCACTGGTATTGCTATCATCATCAGCGTAGTGACCGTAAAAATTAGTCACTAGTATGAACTAGTGTTACTGCTGCTGCTGCGGCTGCTGCTACAACTGCTATTGCTATTCCTATTCTTACTCCTAGTCCTACTCTTCACAATACTACTACTGCTACTCCTCCTCCTGCTGCTGCTACTACTACTACGACTACTAATACTGCTACTACTACTACTACTACTACTACTACTACTACTACTACTGCTACCACTTGTACTACTAGTAGTTACTAGTGGTACTACTACTAATCTAGTACCACTAGTACTACTACTACTACTACTACTACTACTACTACTACTACTACTACTACTACTACTACTACTACTACTACTACTACTACTACTAGTACTACGACTACGACTACGACGACGACTACGACTACGACTACTACCACTACACGACTACTGCTGCTGCTGCTGCTGCTACTACTACTACTACCACCACCTACTACTCCTGCTGCTGCTCCGATTACGACTGTGATGATGAAGGGCATCAATCCAAGATCATGCCGATTGTTCCTGCTGTTTGCTATGGCAACTGTTTCCTTCCAGTCGCACTATGGCTGCTACAGTTGGGGAAAACGACGGATAGTATCCAGGAACACCCCTCCGGACTTTTAGCGCCTTGCGCTTGAAGCTTCCTTATCCGTATTTGCACACTCACAAGCTTTCACCCGACTCCAATCGAAGACTTGGTTTGAGCCCAGATGCGCTTGCGCAGCTCGACTTCCACATCGCGAAAATCTCTCTCCCGCGCCTCGATCGGACCCTAAGCCCCAAACCCTCTCCCTGACTTGAGCTCCTACATCCCAATGTGGACAGACTGAACGCCGAGCAAACCACGGCACTTCCTCGAAAGAAATCTAAGATGCTGGGTGGTTCTGTAAATTAGGATTCCTTTGGGGTTCCTTTTATATTGGGTGATTTTGGGACCAAAAACGGGGCCCAAACTTCGAGAACTACCTCAATGACACAACAAAACTCGTTCAAATCTTGACCTGTTCCACAATCTCTCAGCTAGCTCGAACTTGGAATGGCAAAAACCTAGGCTCCTAAACCAAACAAAGGTTGCCTGCCTAAGCTGACGCCCAGCAAGTGCCTGACAGCCATCAACCTAGACTTCGAAACCCTCAACAGCAACTTAACTTGCAAGCACAACAAACATGAATGCGCAAATAAAATGTAAAAATGAACTAAAGTATTGTAACCATAATTGAAAGCATTATCTTTGTTGGGATTATCATGTGAAACAAGACTCAGCCATTTCCATGTTGTCCTTCTCCAGCAAGGCGATCCTGCGCGATGCAAGCAGCTGAACGCTTCGATAAAGGTCAGCATGCTGCATCTAGTGAAAACATGGAGTGAAATGACTGAAGTTGATGGTCCTTCTGGATTTTATTTGGTACCACTAAACATACTATGAGTGTAGTAGAGTGCAACCCAGCAGAGCCGCAGAGTCATTAAGCCCCAAACCCTAAATCCCTAAGACCCTAAACCCGAAAACCTGAAACCTGCAAAACCCTACAAACCCTAAACACCCGACAAAACTACAGCCCTAAACCCTGCTAACCGGCCTTTAAAGTCCAAAACCGGGTTCAAGGTTTGGCTCAAACCCTAAACCCTTAACGCTAGTAAGCCCTAATACCCCAAACCCCCTAAAGCCTCAAAGAAAACCCGAAACCCCAAAACCCACACCCTTGCCCAAAAATACAATAAAGAACCCTGGCACAACCCTTAACACTAAAGCCTTAAAGCCTTGAACCTCTAAGTCCACATACCCTGAACCGTAAAACCCCCAACTCCCCCCCCCATGGCCTCTCAAGCTTAAACCCTAAACCGAGCAGTACCCTTTCGGTACCCTTATTTAGGTTCCCAATAGCAAGTATTTCAAAACAAAGGAGCAAAAGCCCTCAAGCCAAAACCTCTAATATTCAAACCAGACACCCCTAACCCTAAAAACCCAAAACCCCCAAACCCTTAAAACCACAGAATAAAAAAACACCAATAAAAACAAAAACACAAAACACAAAAAAGGTCTTCTGAAGCACCATAAAACCCCTTAGACCCTTTAAAACCCGAAGAAAAAAGAAACACCCTAAATCCCAAACCCCCAAAACAAAAGCGAAAACAAGCTCCCGATGTTCTGAAGCAAAAAGCACCATGAAACCCCTAAGACCCTTTAAACCCCAGAACAAAGAAACAAAGCCCAAACTCCCAAACAATTCTAAACCCTAAGCCTATAGATCCCTTATAGATTCCTGAAAGGACCCCTAGTTCCCGTCCTCTGAAGCAGCAAAACACCATAAAACCCCTAAACCCCTAAACCCTAAAATCCCTAAACCCCTAAACCCAAAACCCTAAAATCCCTAAACCCCTAAACCCAAAACCCTAAAATCCCTAAACCCCTAAACCCAAAACCCTAAAATCCCTAAACCCCTAAACCCAAAACCCTAAAATCCCTAAACCCCTAAACCCAAAACCCTAAAATCCCTAAACCCCTAAACCCAAAACCCTAAAATCCCTAAACCCCTAAACCCAAAACCCTAAAATCCCTAAACCCCTAAACCCAAAACCCTAAAATCCCTAAACCCCTAAACCCAAAACCCTAAAATCCCTAAACCCCTAAACCCTAAAAAAAAAGTTCCCGGTCCTCTGAAGCAGCGCCTTCTCGCGCGCCTCAGCCTCTGCGAGGCGCTTCTTCAGCGGCCTCGAAAAGTTTGACTTGGCGAGAAAAACTGGGTTGGCCTTTGAACACCCTGAAAAACATTTATATATAGGGTCCCTTATACACCCAAATAAGGAAAATAGAAAATGTCCCAAAATCCAACCTAGAAAACTAGACCCAAGAGTAACCTAGGGATAAAAAAGGGTGCCCTTTTTGATTTGAAGGGGCTTCTAAGGGAACCTGAACCCAAAACATACTCTAGGCCCTGGAAAAGGCGGTGGTTTTTGAGGGTCTGGGGGTTGTAGGGGTCCTTTAAGGGATCTATAAGGGATCTCTAGGGTTTAGGGTTTACAGTTTATGATCTAAGGTTTGGGATTTTGTTTTGGGGGTCAGCATGTAGCATCTAAGGTTTAGGATTTGGGGCTTAGGGTTGATGGGTAGAGCTTAGGCTTTAGGGTTAGGGTTTAGGGTTCAGGGTGTAGGGTTTCAGGATCGCCCAAGGAAACAAACAGCTGAAGCGCAACTCAAAATGTCAGGGGTTCCGGGTTTTCGGGATCAAGAGCTTTGGGAGGGTTTAATTAAAGTCGGGGGTTTCGGGGCTCCGGGCTTAGGGTTTAGGAATCAAGAGGTTGGGAGGGTGTAGGGATCAGGGAGCATGAGACTTAGGATCTACTTAGAGGATCATGGGACTTAGTAAGTAGGTTATAGTTGGGGTTATAAGCCCCCCAAGTGGGGTTATCCTTATTATGTCCTTACTTTCCAAGTCCCATCGGCCTTTGAGTAAGGTTTTAGGGGTCAAGGGGTATAGGACTTAGAATCTAGGGTTGATGGAGCAAGAGGTAAAGGACTTAGGGTCTAGGGTTTAAGGAGTTAAGACTTGGGTTCGAAGGGTTCAGCGGCCCGGGACTAGGGTCTAGGGTTTAGGACTTAGGGATTCAGATGAGGGGTTGCGGTCTAGTTAAAGTAAGTACTAGAGTAGAGTCTTGGAACATATTCTACTATAGCCATAGTAACTGATCCGAAGTGTACTTGACCAATCACAGTAGCATCTTCCGGTGCGTTCTGGACTTGCAGTATAATATTCTTGAGGGCTCCTTATTGTAAGCATAGTATAAGAATCCAAAAGCCGCAGTCTAAATATTGAGGCCCTCCAAACCCAAACAATGAAGGCCTCAAGGTTTGGCTCAAACTCCACACCCCAAAGAACCCTAAACGCCAAAGCCACAAGGGGCGGCTATGACTGGATGAGGAGCTGGGCAAGACCGCAAGAATAGCTGAAACTCTAAAATCAAACATATACATTGCAGCCCAGTTGCTCCGGAAGCTCATCTGCCGATGGTGCCGGCTGGGGTGGTGCAGCAGCGCTTCCTGCAGCATTCGGCAAAAGAACGATTCAGGCTGTCCACCGTTTTGGAACACACCAAAGCAAGGCTTCGTATCATTGAACGGGAGGCGCTAAACACCCTAACCCAATACCCGAAACCTTTGAACCCTAAACCCTGAACCCTAAACCCTGAATCCTAAACCCTCAGCCCTAAAATCCCTAAACCCTAAACCCTGAACCCTAAACCCTAAAATCCCTAAACCCTGAACCCTAAACCCAAACATAAACGAAGCCCAACGTCCCAAAGCCTCGAAATCTGGCCTGAAACCTTCAAGGCCAATCCCGAATCCTAACACCTGCAAGCCTTCGGGATTGGACCCCAAAACCTTCGAACCCTAAACCCTAAACCAAAAACCCTAAACCCTAAACCCTAAACCAAAAACCCTAAACCCTAAACCCTAAACAGAACCCAAAAGGAGGGGCACCTAGTCAGTAGTTATACTTTACAGACTTATTTTTCCAGTATCGAAACCCTAAGTTCTAAGCACTAAACCCTAAACCCCACAGACCCTTAAGGAATCCCCGCCGACAGCGGTCTTCCAAAAATCCCCTTAACCAAGCAATGGATCCTAAAACACAATTGAAAAAGAGGGTTTAGGGTTTAGGGGGCCTACTTAAATTCAAGACATACGGCTCCATTAAGGGATGTACATATAAACACATTGGAGATCCTACTATGGTTGAAATTTTCCCCTTAACTGAGGAACCTAGAAGCATATTAGGAATCCTACGATAGTTTAAGGTATACCTTAACCCCAAGGAACCTACCCCTGTAAGGACTTATATGAAGAAATCATATTAGGGAACCCTTTTTAGGTCGGTTCCTTAGGGTCCAGGTATTCCTTATTGCAGGGGTTTGGGGCTCTCTGAAAACCTGCCGCTGAAAGCACCCGGAGCTTGGAGGGTCGGGGGACTTAGTAAGTTGTTACTTTATGGACGTATAAGTACCATAACCCCAAAAAGGGATCCCTTTTCCTGAACCCTGAACCCTAAAACACCAAAACCCTAAACGTCTACTTGCCATCTACCTACTATTTGCTTAAGAACCCCCAAAAAATAAAAAATACATATTCCTTATAGGGATAATATAGGGATTATTATTTTTTATTTTTTAGGGGGTTCTTAAGCAAATAGTAGCTACTCACCAAGTCCCCCGAACCACCCGGAGGCGCCTTGGACTGGGACCGACGGAGTTGCAGATTCCTTGGGCACAGCCTTTGCCGGTTCCTGCGGGTTTAGGGTTTAGGGTTTAGGGTTCAGGGTTTAGGGTTTAGGGTTTAGGGCTTAGGGTCAGCCTTTGCCGGTTCCTGCTCAAAGGGGGTTTAAGGCTAAGGTGTGCTATACCGAGCTGGCAAATGTTATAGTTTTAGCTGTTTCTTAGGGATTATCGGAACCAACAATTATAACTTGCTTCGAAGTGCCCCTAGGTTTGAGATGGTTTAAGGTCCAGGGATTTTACTGTTTAGTTCTTTACGAGTTTAAGATTTTTGGATTGCTGTTCGGACCCTTCGGTGCACTCCAGCATGACATGCAGAACTCAGAAAAAGTGAATCAAGGGTTCAATTAAGGTTTACCTGGACCCTAAGGAACCTACCTGTTTAGGGTTCCCTGATATGATTTCTTTATATAAGTCCGTAAAGAGGTAGGTTACTTGGGGTTAAGGTAGGGTTACGAGGTTCAGGGGTTTAGTGCTCAAAGTTCAGAGTGGAGGTCTTTTGGGTTAGAAATACAAGGTGCTTTCAAGGCGTTTAGGAAGGAAGTTTGAGTCTGCATGTATGAAGCGGCGCACTTGAAGGCTCATTGGACGTTTTAAGTAAAGTTATAAGTAGGTTATAATAAGGATAACCCCACTTAGGGGGCTTATAACCCCAATTGGGACCGACTTACTAAGTCGCATGAGCCTCTAAGTAACCTAAACTCCCCCTTATAGAACCCTTGTAGATCTGCTTTGGGGTTTAGGGTTTGGGCCAAGCGTGGGGGGGTTTAGGGGTTTAGGGTTTAGGGCTTAGCACTTCAGAGCTGTTTGACTGCAGTTTCGTGTAAGTTTTTGCGATAATGGCCTGCTTTTGAAATCGGGTCCTGTGCTGATCGGGCAGCCGCCACGTACGTTTTGTCCTGCTTCGATGGTGTTTCATCATATTCTCAACCGTACCAGCTTCTTCGCTTGCCACTGAACTGCAGCCCAAGCCCAACCTGTGTCTGCTTAGAGGATCATGGGACTTGGTAAGTAGGTTATAACTGGGGTTATAAGTCCCCTAAGTGGGGTTACCCTTATTATAACCTACTTATAACCTTACTTACTAAGTCCCATGAGCCTTCAAGTAGGGCCATGACCTCGGAAATCTTAAACTCAGTAACCATGGTATGATGACTTTGAACACGTCCAAAAATGACCAAAATAACCTGCCCTGTCTTATAAATCCCAAAGAAAACCAAACCCTTAACCAAATCTAAACCTGAACGCTAAACCCCCAAACCCTCCGAGCAGCCTTCATCTTCGGGTTGCACGTGGCGATATCTCGGAAAGCCGGCGTCTTCAGCTGGGCGGAAAGGACCTAGCGTCATGAACCACGGGCCTGAATTGGTGATAATAGGGGTTTAGGGTTTAGGGTTTAGGGTTTAGGGTTTAGGGTTTAGGGTTTAGATAGGATTTTGCAGCCTATAAGAGTTCTGGGGCCGTACTGAAAAGAATGAGGTTTTGGGGTACATGATAGTATGCTTCACCTTAACCCCAAGTAACCTACCTTTTTAAGGACTTATTTATCAAGAAATCATATCAGGGAACCCTAAAAAGGTAGTTCCTTAGGGTTTAGGTAAGGGCACACATTACCCGCGATGGTTTTGGACGTTGGGCCCCTAAACCCGGGAGTGTCGGCCTGAGAAATCCGGGTCCCAGGCTCGGAGCTTACTTAGAGGATCATGGGACTTAGTAAGTAGGTTATTTTAAGTGTATAAGGGTTCTATAAGGGGGAGTTTAGGGTACTTAGAGGATCATGGGACTTAGTAAGTAGGTTATTCTTGGGGATATAAGTCCCCTAAGAAGGGCAATCCCAATTATAACCTTACTTACTGAGTCCCATGAGCCCTAGGATACCCAGTAACCTAAGAATAAAAAGGCCTCTCTTTTTGGTATTGGGTAACTTTATAAGGAACCTAGGACTACAAAAAGGGAATAAGGGTACTACTGGGCATCCTAGAGCCTTTAAGCAAGGTATATAGCCTAGTGATCCCTAATTCTCCCTAGTACTCCCTAAGGTTCCCTTACAATCCCCTAAGGATCCCTTGTACCCTCCCCCCTTGAACCACCCTCCCTTAAGGACCTATAAGAAGCAAGGATGAGGATGCTTGAAGGTTTCGTTCTGTTCTTGCAGAGTTTCGTGCTAGGGTTTAGGGTTTAGGGTAGAGTCTTGGGGAACTCAGCTGGTACAGTGGTACAATCGAAAAGACAAGGAACCCGAAATCTCAACCCTAAACCTAAACTTAGTTGCTGAGTTCATAAGCCCCAAAGAGTGCACACTTTCAGTTTTATAGTGGGTAGTATTGTCCTAAAAAGTGTAAAGTGTATTCACGCAGCTACTAAGTAAACCATCATGGGACCTCAACTATATACGCCTGAATCAGGCACCTCCCCATTCCCCAGTCCATCGCTCCGCACGAACATGTCGTCTCCGGAAGCTTTGGCATCTTCTTGGGCATAGGCATTGCCTTGACGGCTGGCTCCTGTACCATAGTCGTGCTTTCATATATGCCCAACAGGCATTTCTCCAAAGCTTTCTCTTCGCCATACCGGATGGCTACTCTGATCGTCTTCCCCATCTCGGACTGTAAGCGTTGGGATCAGGCGTCTCTGCAGTTCGGCTCTTCAGGGTTCCCGGTTTGAGCTTCCAGTTGGGAGTCAGGACGAAGGGGACCCATCGGGATAAAGACCCTCTCAATAAGGTCCATTTTAAGAGAGCCAGAAGTAGGGTTCAGAAGGGGTACCCTTTAAGGGGTCTCTCAAATAATTACCTACTAGTGCGAACAATGCGGATACCCATCGTTTAAGACATGCAGACTCACCGATGCAGATCTTCATCTCCGCGATACATCGTGTTAGGAATATCAGCAGGCAAAGATTTGGGGGGTTCCGAAGGTAGGGGACCCTATTGTAGTACTCTAAATTGTAGGATCCTTACTATAAGGACCCCAAAACAAGGTACCCCTAATTCCCGGAAACTCCCATTATTGGAACAACGAAATTGGCCGTGCTCTGCAACACCGTATAGCACCCTCAACCATAAACCCGAAACCATTTAGAACCCAACCCTAGCCCTAAAGCCCAAAATGCTGAGCCCTACATGCCATAAGTTCACAGTGCAAAAACTAAGCTCTGATACCGCCCTGAATCTCGAAAACCAACACCACAAGCGCTAAAACCGCAAACCAACAAAACCGAAACTTCGACCCCCCCGGATAAGCGGGGACCTCCGCAATCGCTCGCTGGAGATCGCCTTCCAAATGACCAAAGTCATTCTACGTTTTCGGCTTAGGTCTAGCGGGCCCTTTAGGGTTGATTTAGGATTTGGAGTTTAGGCGGCTAGCGACTTTGTGTGTAAGGCAAGGGTTTCTGTCGAGGTTCCCTTTGCTTCCGGAAGTTGGATCTCTCGCGTGTTCTAAACCCTCAACTTTCCTCCCCACTCAAACCCCAGAGCCCCATGCTTGTTTCTTGCTTGTTGGGTTGGGGTCTTCATGGACCAAGATCCACACTCCAGCGGTCGGGACCGCACACCTTCACTGTAAAACAAACTCCCAAAACCCGCACCATCCTCATCAAACTCGGAAACCGCCAAAACAACAGGGAAACCACTGAACTCTAAAGGCCAAAAAGCGTGAAGCCCTACCGGCCGGGCTGCAAACAAAGTAACCCGAGCATGTACTTTACTGACAAGGAGTGGCCCCCAAAAATGATGGATGCGTGTATGAGTATAGGTCCTCATGTTTAGGCTGTAGGGCTTCAGGGTTTTAGGGTTCGGGGTTTTGGGGTTTAGGGGTTTCGTGGTTTTAGGGTTTAGGGTTTTGGGGGTTTAGGGGTTGAGGTTTACAGTACCATCGATACCTTTGGCCAAAACTTGAAACCCTCATATCCCAACCGGAGACTCCCGGAGCAGAACAAAATGAAACTCTGTAAAACCCAACACTCTAGGGGCCTTAATAATGCAAATAGGGTTTGGGGCTCCTGTACAGTATAAACCATAATGAGGAACCCTAGGAAGAATAGTGGTAAAAATTTCGGTTGTTTTAACAGATTCCGGGCGTAAACGTGGTATGTTCTTAACGGGGTTCGTGGTGGACCCCGAAGAAATTTCGAGAAACGCCATACAATCAAAGCCCTTTCCAAAGCCTTTGAAACTGCCAATTGCACCTCAAAAAAACATTCGGAAAACCCAAACAAACACATCTCTAGAAAAATCCATCATATGACCCTAAACTCCCTAAACCCTTGAACCCTTATCCAAAGTGCTTAAACCCCGAAGCCTAAATCCTAGAACCCTGAACCCTAAGCGATAACCCCAAACCCTACCTTAACCCACCAGAACCTACTTTTTGTAGGGTTCCTGCAAAATTCCATAAATTCCATATTAGGATTTATAGTGGGGAGCTGCAAAAAAACAGGTGTTGGTAGGTTAACGTCGAAGCTCTAAAGCCTTCCTTAACCCCAAGTAACCTACTTAAAGGCTCATGGGACTTAGTAAGTAAGGTTATAAGTAGGTTATAATTAGGATAACCCTACTTAGGGGACTTATAACCCCAATTATAACCTACTTACTAAGTCCCATGATCCTCTAAGTATCTTTTGAAGGACTTATATGAAGAAATCATATCCGGAAACCTTGAAGGGTGGGTTCCTTAGGGTCCAGGTATTCCTTATTGCAGGGGTTTGTGGCTCTCTGGGGAACTGCCGCTGAAAGCGGCCTTTTCGGGTTTATAGCGGGAAGCTACCAAAAAACAGGTGTTGGTAGGTTAAACCCTAAACCCTAAACCGTGGTTAACGCCGAAGCCTTAAAAACCTTGAAGCGCCTGCCGCGCCGGCCGCCGGCCCACGGATCTCGCGGAGTTTCTTGGACCCCGCCTTAGCCTCCTCGGAAGTCTGCTCCTCACCTCTCAGCGGGGGACGAGTTTAGCGTTTAGGGTTTTGGGTTTGAGGGGTTTAAGGTTTAGGGGTTTAAGGTTTAGGGGTTTTTGGTTTAGGGTTTAGGGTTTCGGGGAGTCTGCTCCTCACCTTTCAGTGGGCTTAATTTTTGTTTTCTTTTTGGAGCGGGGGCGGGGGGGCTGCTAGTCTCAGCTTGTCATGTGGGATTTTCGCATCTACTTCTTTGGGTTTAGGGGGCTTAGGGTTTACGGTCTAGAGGTATACCATGTAGGGTACTATACTAAAGTCCCCATTTTCGGAAACTCCCATACTAGACCCAGAAGTAACCTAGGAATGAAAAGGGTGCCCTTTTGGGGTTAAAGGGTGTTATTTGAGAACCTAAACTCTGAAAAAGAGAATAAGGGCCGACTCTAGGTCCGGTCCTAGCATATAGGGTGTAGTCCTCAGGGCTAGGGCTTTAGCGCGCTTCGTTTAACGATTCGGGGGCCCTGGGGTTAAGGCGTTTCGGGGGTTTAGAGCTGGATGCAAGGACGCTCATATGGACCCTAAAGAATACTGGAGGATCCGCAACACATCCCAGAATGAAGCACCCCAAATGTTGAGACATACCGAAATCCTTGAGGCTTAGAAGAACCTGCACAAACCCACATCACGAAAACCTGAACCCTAAACGCTGAACTCCTTGCAAGCCCTTACTAACCCAAGCCACAGAAACAAAGTGGTTAAACTTTCCGGTTCCTACTAAACTACAAGAACCCAACAAGTTTAAAGGTCACCTCAACCCCAAGTAACCTACCTTTTTAAGGACTTATATAAAGAAATCATATCAGGGAACCCTAAAAAGGTAGGTTCCTTAGGGTCCAGGTAAGTACTGCCATCTTGGCATTTCTGAGGCCTGGAGGCTCGTCGGAAGCTTTCACTGGTCGCAGGCTGCTTCGGTTGACCTGGACCAGCATTGCAGCTAGTAAGGCTTACCTGTAGCCGAAAAAACCTACCTTTTTAAGAAACCATATATAGAAACCCATATTAAGGATCCCGAAAAAGGTAGGTCTTTCCGGCTACAAGTAGGGCTCCTTTTAAGGGTACTGTGGGGTTTTATAATAGGGTTTCGCTTCCAGGGTTTAGGGTTTAGGGTCTACTTACAGGCTCATGGGACTTAGTAAGGGCTTAGGGTTCCCTTTAAGGGTACTATAGGGTTCTATAATATGGGTTCAGGGTTTAGGGTCTACTTAAAGGCTCATGGGACTTAGTAAGTAAGGTTATAAGTAGGTTGTAATCAAGATAACCCCACGTAGGGGACTTATAACCCCAACTATAACCTACTTACTAAGTCCCATGATCCTCTAAGTGGGGTTTGGGGTAACCCCCAGGGTCCCTATGACTTAAGGCTTAGGTTTTTAGGGCTTAATGAGATCCTGGTGACCAGTGTTTGAAACCCTTACCACCCCAATAAGCCACAGAAATAAAAGGCAAAACTTTCCGATTCCTGTTAAACTATAAGAACCCAAAAAGCTTAAAGCTTTCCGAAAACTCTAAGAACCCAAAAAGTTTAAAACTTTCCGAATCCTACTAACTTATAAGAACCCAAACAGTTGGAAGGTTGGGTGATGGGGATCTAAGAACCTCAAGGCCTGAGCTATATAACACCCCTGAAATCACACTAAACCCTGAACCCCCGTTTAGAGTTTAGTGCCTAGGGCTTAGGGTTTGGGGCTTGTGGTTTAGGGTTTAGGGTTTACAAAGCCCTAAAACCTACCACCCATATGGGTGGTTGTCAATATTAGGGTCCCGTTCCGGGTACTCTAAAACGCAGTGCCGTATTATCTTAGGGACCCAAAAAGGAGCATAAATGTTGACAACTACCCGTGTAAAAGCCTCATAGAACCCTGTAGACGCATCCTTAAACACAGATGTACCAAAGAAGCAGGCATAAGCTGCTTACCCCAAGCCTCCTGCACAAGTCCGCCAGATCGTCGCTTGACTTTTGCCTTTGTGCCGCATAAGTTGACCACCACTCCTGCCGGCGATTTTGGTACCTATACTGAACTTAGAACCTTAGCAAACATTATAATTTTGGCTGTTTCTTAGGGATTATAATAGCCAAAAAATAAAAACCATATTTCTAAGTACCCCTAAGGTACAGGAGGATTTCTGAAACCTGGGGACTAGCGACCTAGGTTATCCTATTCCCAGACCCTTGGGAGGGTCCAAAAAGTAGATCCCTTAATGGGGGTTCCTATAAAGTACCCTTAGTAGTATAGGGCCCAGATTAGGGGATCTACTTTCTAGATCCTCCCGGGGTCTGGGTTGGGGATCTTTCGGATTCTGCTATTTCGGGTCTAGTTTGGAAGGCTTCCGTGGCTTGAGAATGCCAAGATGCTGATATGCGCTGCTGCCAGAACGCGAATTCTAAAACCAAAGCAGACATGGTTCCACGACCAGGACCCCTGGGGCATAGTTGGAGCCCTATGCAGACGGTCGCTCATATGCTACTGCCCCAATTGTAAACTGTGAACCATAAGCCCCATGCTTGCCGGTCCTTGACCTTTGATCTTGCCCTCGGCGATTCTCACATTCATGCCCACCTGTTGCGGCCGCCCTCTGTTGCTGAAGGGCTTAGGGTCTAGGGTTTACTGGGTTGGCCTTATAAACCCAAATAAGGAAAATAAAAAATGTCCCAAAATCCAACCTAGTTTAGGGTCTAAGAATAGCTTTGGGCTTGGGTCTCTGGCCTTGTAAGGAGGAGGCCTTAAGTCCAAGCCGCTCAAACCCCTTATGTAGGGGCCTTCATATTTAGACTAGGGTTTTGGGCCCGCTGTACTATAATTATAATAAGGCTCCCCCTTCCGGCCCCTATATTACACTCTTCCAGGCCACCTTTAGACCATCTTCCGGAGGGGCTGTGGCGGACGCAGTAGGTTCACCTTAGCTGCAGAAGTCTGGAGACAGAAGAGCGAGAAGCCTCAAGCCGCATGCAGTCGATTACAGGTCCCAGTATAGCTTTAGGGTTTAGAGTTTAGGGTTGGTTGAGGGTTTAGAGTTTAGGGTTTAGGGTTTAGGGTTTAGGGTTTAGAGTTTTGGGTTTAGGGTTTGAGGAATTCCTAGTTTGGGCTTCCATGCTGGTCCTTCTTAGAAAAAGGCTAGGGACCCCCTGGGGCGCTTTGGGCTCTCCGGGTACTGCCAGGGTACTGGAAGCGGCGTCCGGCTCAGGCTGCGAAGACGCCTTCGATACTAAGGAAGGGCTCCACAAGGTATAGAAGGGCTCTTCCAAGTTGTCTATAATACAGGGGCCTTAATAACTAGAACAGTGTCTTGGGGCCCATGATATTACAATTCTAGTCAGGACCCCCCCCCCCAAAAAAAAAAAAAAACACAGCTAGTATAGGTAACTATTTATGGCTTTAGGGTTGCATGGTTTCGTCTCTGAGGTGTCTCAGGCTCTAGTGGCTTGAGTACATAGGTTGCATGCAAGGCAAGACATTCGTAAATCAAACCACCCCACGATCCCTATTTGGAGGTTCATGGGACTTAGTAACTGGGGTTATAAATCAGGTAACTATGCTTATAGTTACTTGTAACCCCAGTTAAGGTACTTATAACTGTACTTACTAAGTCCCATGAACCTCCAAGTACTTGTAACCCCAGGGCCAATGAACTTGCTGAGTCCCCTGATCCTCCAAGGGCCATTGCATCTGAGGACACATTGGTCTCTGTAAGAGGTTTGCCCCATTTCGGGCTCGGACCATGCTACTTTTCCCAAGGGCTCTTCATAAACGCGCTTGTTCAGGCCCCCGATTGGCGCTGGGTGCGTGAGTATCAAAACACCACAAAAAAGCTCCATCAAGCGCGCTTCTAATATAACGGAGTATGAAACAAAGCTCCATGATATTGTAGTGAAATGAGGTAACACAGTAAAACATGATATCACATTTTACAACAGGATATCATATACTACGAGCACTATAATATCATATAACTTGGTATAGCCATGAACACCATAGCATGAAAATAGCGTGACATCACACCATAATAGCATGGTACAGTGTAGAACAGTACAGTATGGAATCTTATAGTATAATGAAGCTTAATGAGATATAGTACAACATATCAGGGTATATGAAATAATGTCATACATGATAATACAGAATTTTATATTACATAATAGAATGATACAACACAATATAATACAATAAAGAGTTTAAAAGGTACGAAGAATGAACTCTATGATGATTCTACAAATATTGAGGCCCTGAATCCATGAACACCGAAACACTGCTCCCACCCAGCCTTGCTCTCAGCTGGTGACGGCTTAGACGGAGGAGGTGACGGTGCAGAAAAAACCTGGTACGAGACAAACTCTACTTCTAGGTCCTGAACAATCAGGATACCCTTGTTCATACTATTTGGTTTAAATAAGGGAGCCAGGGTACTACTTGGAGAACCCCAAACCTGACGAAAAGTGCTTGGGTTTATGGCTTGGTAGGGGGGACTCCGCACTGGCATGTACCGTTCCCAAGCACGGCACCATAACCCTATATATTGACAGACAAGACTAGGTTAAACCGTGCCCCTACAGGCACATGGACGAAAAAACCGTTCCAATTGGATGTCGATTGCATCCTCCGACAAAGCGGGGAACGCGCTGACGAAAAAACACGTCGCATGAACATTCATGACGGACCAAGAGAGTCCAGTGCCCCCTTGATGAAGGAATATACACTGAATTATCAGGGGCTTCAGGTTATGATGATCTAAGCTGTATTCCTCAATAGAGGGGTGTTGGGTCTCAAAGGCACAAGTAGATGCGCACCCTTCCAAGCTGCTTATATCCCGGGACTACATAGATTCGGAGACTGTACAGCAGCAGCGTACCGGACGCCAAGTACACAATCATTGAGGAGGGTCATCATCTGTCAAGTCTAAACACGGCTTGCTGTAAGCGCCGCACTGTTGCTGGCTCACGTGGAGGCTAAACCATAATCCCCTAATCCCTAAACAATACCCTAACCCTAAACCCTTGAACCCTCTGTCTTAAAGCCCTCGAACCTCCTTCTCGTCCAGACATGGCTTTGGTGCTGGAGGAGGTTGAGGTGGAGCCTTGGCACAACTCGGACTTGCAACACACGTTCCGGAAGCCTAGCGTCTTGCTTTATGCTTTTTACAGGGGCCGGACCAATCTGCAATTGCAGACATATGTGTCACGCTTCCTCTGATAAGAGGCTTCATGAAGAGCGAGATGTGTGTGCTGTGAACGTCTCGTCCAGACCTACCACACGGTCTATGTCCAGCTGCTTTACATGAGTCTTAAAACCTAATCCTAGCCCCTAAATTGACAAAAACCAAAGTGAACCACACTTCAAGTCAACCCGAAACTGCGATGTCAGCTTCGATAAAGACAGCCATCCCCGAATAGCTAAGCTACAACCCTATGCACTAGAACTTCGACCCCGAAACCTTTTAAGGTTTGCTGCTTCATTGTTGAAAGGCCCTTGTCGGTCCACATAGGGTTTAAGCTTTAGGGTTTAGCGCTCAGTAAGTCAGGGGGTTTAAGGCTTTAGGGGTCAGAGTGTAGGGTTTTGGGGCTAGGGTAGAAGTACGGTTGATTATATAGATCCTGCACTACCCATAATAAGGAATATACCATAATTCCCATAGTTTAGGGTCCTTAAGGTAATAGAGGATTTATTTCATCAACAGTATGTCTGGGGTTTCGCAGATTTCATGTTGGCTTTGTCCGGTGTTGTTTGGGATTCGCTCAAGTTACCCGTTCTTGTATCTGAGCACTATAAACCTGAAAGGATCAAGGGTCGCAGTAAAACCTCATCCTGAAGTTGCAACTCAAAACCCCAAACCACTTCAGTTCAAAGATTGCGATGCCGAGCTTAAAGACTTCTCAAGCTCAAACCCCGAAACCGCGAAAGTCTGGCAGAATAACTTCAAAGCATCTGATGTTGGGGACCTGTGTTGCGGGTTTAGGTGCTTAGGGGTTAGCGACCCTGCCCCAAACGCTAGCTACTAACCGCAAAAATCCCTAAACCCTACATATCACTGACCCCCACGTCTATATCTGCCCAACTTTAAATCACTGCACCTAAGCCTTACTCTCTCTACCCGACACCCGATGCTCTAGATCTTCAAAAAACATGGGGCGGCAAGCGAAACCAACACCCTGTCCGTTCTAAACCCAAAAAACGACAGTTGAAACCCAAAACAAACCCAAACCCTATCTAGCTCCTCCAGCATCCCTATGAAACTCTATTCACACCTATAGCCCCCGTAGAACTTAGAACTCGACCCTAAACCCTAAACCCTCCTCACAAAAAGCACGGTACCCCTTGACCCCAAATAACTACCTGTTTTAATGACTTATATGGAAGTTTCCGAAAATAGGGAACCTTAATGTAGTACCCTAAATAGTAGGATCCTTATTATAAGGAGCCCAAAACAAGGTGCCCCTAATTTTCGGAAACTCTCATATAAGGAAAAGGTAGGTTTGTTAGGGTCCAGGTCGAGACTACTCGAGTAATATAGGAGCCTTACTAATTAGAATATGGTTTTGGGCTATATTGTACTATACTTATAATAAGGAACCCCCAAAATAGTATAGGTAATTATTAAGGCCCCCTACACTAAATCCGCATAAGACCCCTTACAGTAATCCTTATAGACCCCATTAAACGAAACCCTTTAGGTAATCATTTAAGCCCCTACCTTAAACTACCAAACCCTAGTCTTTTGTAGGTTCTTATTATAACCCCTGATATGGAATTTATAGGGGCCCTACAAAGAAGTAGGTTTTGGTAGGTTAAGTAAACCCTAAACCCCTAAACCCTAAACCCCTATATGAAGCGAGCTGCTTTCTTTGGCAGCTCGCCAGGGCCTGCGGCACCTGTGGGCAGCCAGCCTGCTCCCGTTCTTCAGATTTGGGATTGAGGGTTTAGATTTGGGATTTAGGGCTTAGATTTGGGATTTACGGGTTTAGGGTTTAGATTTAGGGTTTGGGGTTTAGATTTGGGGTTTAGGTTTAGGATTTTGGGTTTAGGGTTTTCAATTGGGATTGAGGAGAGCAGTTCAGGGCTCATGCTTTAGGGCTGTTTGGGCGTATAGGGGGTTTGGACTTTCTAGGATTCCGCGGTCGCGAGACCAGCGAAGCTCTTTGTTAATACGGATGGGTTTAGGGTTTTAGACCGGGGTTATGGTTTAGGGTTTTCGACTGGAGGGGTTCGGGTTTAGGACCCTGCCATCAAGGGCTCATTTAAGCTTGCGGCGTGAGGGGTAACCGCAGGGTTTTTGCAAGGTTTCTCCAAGTTTTCAGGGTTAGCGAGCGGTGGAGGGGTGGGGGGGGGCTCAATCACGCTTGGTTGATATTTGCTTTTGTAGATGCGAACTGGGTCATTAGCAGAGCCCTGCAGTGCATAAGACTGCTGCCCTTTAGGCTGTTTCAACGGTTAATATGCAGCACCCCATGTCCACGTGGGCTGAAAAAATGAGACTTTTCCTTGCTGAACGGACCCTGCAGGCATTTAAAGGAAAGAGGGTCATGGTAGATCCTTTTCTGACAATAGAGGCCTGGAAAATTTGGTCGATGCAGTGTATACTTTAATGTCTACCGGGAGCTACCTGTGCAAAGGCAGCTGGCCTAACATAGTCTAGGAGCCTTAATCACTAGATCAGTGTTTGGGGGCCCATTATACCATAACTATAATAAGGAACCCCAAGAATAGCATAGGAAACACTTTAAGCCGCCGTATTATAGCACTTCTTGATTCAAGGCTTGCCGTTTGCACCTGCTGGCGGCGCTTTCGGTGTGAGCTCTGACTTCGGCGGCGGGGCGGATGCTGAAAATGGAGGCGCCTTCTCCTGAGATTTAGGGTTTACGGGTTTAGGGTTTAGGGCTTTATCTGTTTAGGGGTTTCGGGTTTAGGGGTTCGGGCAACATCGGGTGAAGGAATGGAGGGGTTCGAGCTCAGTGCTGCAAATCCTCAGCCCCAAACCCACTTAATATAGGGGCCTTCATAATTAGAATAAGGTTGTGGGGCCCACTATACTGTAAGTATAGTAAGGAACCCAAACTAGTATTGGTCATTATCTAGGCCCCTGTATTGCTTCAGCCCAGCCCCGGACATCCCCGAACCAGTTTGGATTCAGCACTACTGTTGATGATATAAATCCCGCATTGCCCATAATAATGAATATACCGTAATTCCCTTAGTCCAGGGCCCTTAAGGTAATGCAGGATTTATACCATCAACCGTCTGTCGCCCACCTCTGCTTCCCACAGCCGAAGCCGAAAGCTCCTCCAGCTACGAACCCCAAACCCGAAGGTTCGCTTAAGCAATACAGCTCAAATCATCAGTAATATAGCTGAAAAATCATACTAGGCAGCGCCCTTCTAATTTGAGGCATAGTCCTTCCTTAAGCGGTCGTGGGCTCTCTGGGAAACTGTCATTGCTTTCTTGTTTGGGGGTTGAAGTTTTGGGGCCCGTTATACGATTCTTATAATAAAGAACCCCCAAGATAATAATTGCTAAGGCCCCTATAGTACTTGGGGTTGGAGGGTCAGAAGTAAACTTATGAGTACCTTAATGGGGATCCTAGTTGGGTTATGATACTTAGAAGTCCCAAAAACGACTACTGACTAAGTCCCCCGACCCTCCAAGTAGGGCTACTTAAAGGCCCTAAAGAGACTTGGTAAGTAAGGTTGTAATTCGAATAACCCCACGTCGGAGACGTATAACTCCAATTCCGAGCATAACCTACCCAGAGACTCAAATATCCCTTAATTAAGGAATATTCCTTAAATCATACAGCGGGCAATTCGGGGCTTGCAGTCCAGCCTCCTGGAAAGATAACGACATCCACTGCGACAAATGCCTTTTGACTATTGCTCTGGATTCTGGCCCCCCCGAAATGACGCGGCGCCGGTCCGAAAGTTCGTCGCGCTCTATGTTGTCGACTTACAACATGTGTGTTCAAGACACCTTTCCCCGTAGACTCCTCCAGAAGTCCTCCTCCGAGAACAGTTATAGTACTATAATTTCATTCCCGGGTGATAATTCCTCCGCTAGCCATGCTAGGGTATTCCTCACAGCCCGGACTCCGCGTACTCCGTTCAGTGTTGCTAACGGATGCGACGAAACTCTAGTACCGGGCATGCCTCGCCGTGACCCTTTTATTCAGCAAATGACACTGCCTCACCCCGAAGTTAAAGCCACATGTCCTGGCTTGGTTGCGAGGATCAGCCATGATTCCAGAATCAGCCGTTGCCGTGACACTTTCTTCAGCAAATGACACTGCCTCACCCCGACCTTAAAGCCACATGTCCTGGCTTGGTTGCGAGGATCAGCCATGATTCCAGAATCACCACCGGGCCGAAAGTTTCGACATGCAGCTTATAACATAGATGTATGCCGCGGAGAGGCGGAGAGCTCCAAGACCCATTTTACGTGGCCAGCGTGGCGGAGTAATTACTTTCCGGGAATAAATCTATACTATTATATAGTTTCCGGCGGAGAGCTTTGCGGGGTTGTGCTAGGATTCTACCGGGGAAAAGGGGTGAACATGTGGTGATCTCTCAACTTCATGTTGTATGGCGAACTTTCGTCCTGCGGTAGCATCAAGGATCCTACTATGATTTAGGGTATCCTCCGCAATTAAGGGATATTGGAGTCTCAGAGTATACTTGATCCCGGAGCCCTGAAGTGAGCCCAAGCCCTGACGTGAGATTCTCCTTCACCGGTGGTGGTGGGGTCGGCGGCGGCATTTTCTTGGGCAAGGACTCCTCTGCCGCATGAGAGCTGCTGCGCGAGGTCTCCTCAAGCTTGCGATGACTATTACTATTACTATTGCTGCTACTATTACTATTACGATTACGATTACTATGACTATTACTGCTACTGTTACTATTGCTGTTACTGTCACTGCTACTGTTACTATTGCTATTACTCTGTTACTATTTGGGAGTTTCCGAAAATAGGGGATCCTCATATAATACCCCAAATAGCAGGATCCTTATTAGAAGGACCCCCAAAATAAGGTCCCCCTAATTTCGGAAACTCCCATTTCTGGGCACAGATCAGGACTGGATCGATGCAGGTTCCGTCGCCCCCGCTTCCCAAACCCACGGCCCGACCCTCCTCAAACTCCGAACACTAGTCTTAGGGTTTAGGGTTTAGGGTTTAGGGTTTTAGGATTTAGGGTTTAGGGTTTAGGGTTTAGGGTTTTAGGGTTTTAGGGTTTAGGGTTTAGGGTTTAGGGTTTTACTAGTGTAGGGGCCTTAATGATTAGAATAGGGCTCCTTTAAAGGGTTCTATAAGGGATATCATAAGGATTTAATGTCATTATTTAAGGCCCCTGAGGTGGACCCCAAACACCCAGAAGTTTCTGGTTTTGGGTTCGGGATTGCATGTTTAGGGTTCAGGGCCCATCCCAAGCCCTGACGTGAGAGTATCCTTCACGGGTGGTGGTGGGGCCGGCGGCGGCATTTTCTTTGGCAAGGACTCCTCTGGCGCCTGCCAGCCGTTCCACGACGGCTCCTCGGTTTTGTGGGTCGTACTTAGAGGATCATGAGACTTGGTAAGTAGATTATAATTGGGGTGTTATAAGTCCCCTGAGTGGGGTTATCCTAATTATAACCTACTTACAACTTATTATAACCTTACTTACTAATTCCCATGAGCCTTTAAGTCGGGCGTTTATCAACGATTTGCAGGTTGTAGGGATGTGGGTTTAGGGCTTGAGGCCTTCATCACTTGGGTCTGGGGCTTTAGGCTGAGGGCTTAGAGACTAGGCTGGCATGATGCCTCCCCGACTCTGCGTGCATACCAGGTTTAGGGTTTTTGGTTTTAGGTTTTAGGGTTCAGGGTTTAACTTTCATGCAAATAGTGAACCTCGGAAAATTGGAACATGGATTTAGGATGGTTCGTGCTGGGATCCTCTATGCGTAAGCTTAAGGGCATGAGGATATCGATGTTCCACCTTTCTGGCTTCTACTTGATACAAGACCTGTAAACGGGATGGCTTTGCTAATGGTTCGACAGCAGAACCTTCCTGACAAGCACCAAACCCTCCATTCCTACTACTTACTTAAGAACCCCCCAAAAAATAATTATCCCTATAAGGAATATATTTTTTATTTTTTGGGGGGTTCTTAAGCAAACAGTAGATTCCGAGTCTACGCCGAGGAGCAGGTGGTGGAGGTGTTCTGCCTATCGAGGGCCGCCAATCTGAAGAGGAAGAGGCGGCTGCCTCAATCGTCTTCGCGCTTCCCAAACACCATGTAGGTAATTCTCTGAATTAGCATCCCCTTTTTCGGTCCCCAAAAAAGTACGACACCCTTTTAAAAAAGGACCCCCAAAGGTACCCCTAGTTTTAGGAAACTCCCATGGTAGGATTCCCACATTTCGGTTCAAGACAGAGCCTGACACAAAGAGCCTTGAAACTTCGATGGAAACATGTTTGGCGGTACAGTAAGCTTGCTTGAAGGCTCATGGGACTTAGTACGTAGGGTTACAAGTAGGCTTAGCGGACTTAAAACCCCACTTGTAACCTACTTACTAAGTCCCATGATCCTCTAAGTGAACCTCTGCGACTCTACAGACATCCCCAGCTGCATACAAATGGCTGGTTCAACAAGCTTGCCTTAGCTTCCGTCCAGGCTGCTTTGTGGTGAAAAACAGCGACCGCTGAGAAAAGGAGAATCGCAAGCAATTTTCTTCTGCCGGTATCACAGGTAGATCAGTTCTGAAGCTACTACCGCATCTACCACCACTGACACCATCACCACTACCACCGCCGCCGCCACCGCCACCGCCACCACCACTACAACCATCACCACCACTACCATCACGACACCCACCACGACGACGACAACTCCTGCCGCCGCTACTACGACTACGACTCCGACTGCGAGTGCGCCGTAGTTGCTGCTACTACTACTAATACAATGCTTGGGAAGAAAATTCTTGCGACGATAACAACGACGAGCATTTACGGACAGAGAAGACGTGCACCAACATGCATCGAGCTGTTTTGCTTCAAGGTCGTGGCTGCTATTCAGTTGATCTCGCACTGCACTACTCTCACCACCAAAGGAAGCATCACCCCAGGTGACGACGGAGCCATCCCCCAGGATCGCAGCGAAGGCTCCGTTGGTTGCTTGAATCTGCTGAACATTCTGCAGCTGACCCCTCACAGCACTGTTGTCACCACCCATGCCGGCGTTTCCCCAGGACACAACGGAGCCATCCCGTAGGATCGCAGCAAAGGCATAGCAGGTTGCTTGAATCTGCTCCACATTCTTCAGCCACACAGCACTACTGTCACCACCCATGCCAACACGGCCCCAGGTCACGACTGAGCCATCCTCTAGGATCGCAGCAAAGGCACCATTATTTGCTTGAATCCGCTGCACATTCTGCAGCTGACCTCGCACAACACTGCTATCACCACCATGGCCAGCATGGCCCCAGGTCACGACCGAGCCGTCCCCTAGGATGGCAGCAAATGCATGAAAAGTTGATTGAATCTGCTGCACATTCCTCAGCTGATCTCGCACGGCACTGCTGTCACCGCCGGTGCCAGGACGGCCCCAAGTCACCACGGAACCGTCCCCCAGGATCGCAGCAAAGGCCTCATTATTTGCCTGTATCTGTTGCACATTCTTCAGCTGATCTCGCACAGCACTGCTGTCACCACCGTAGCCAGCATTTCCCCAGGTCACGACGGAGCCATCCCCCAGTATCGCGGCAAAAGCATGCTTGGTTGCTTGAATCTGCTGCACATTCTTCAGCTGATCTCTGACAGCACTGCTGTCACCGGCGGAGCCAACATCCCCCCAGGTCACGATAGAGCCATCACCCAGGATCGCAGCAAAGGCACCACTATTTGCTTGAATCCGCTCCACATTCTTCAGCTGGTCTCGCACATTACTGCTATCACCACCCTGGCCAGCATGTCCCCACGTAATCACGGAGCCATCCCCCAAAATCGCAGCAAAGGCATGCCAAGTTGCTTGAATTTGCTGAGCATTCTTCAGATTATCTCGCACAGCACCGCTGTTTCCACCCGAGCCATCATCTCCCCAGGCTACGCTGGATCCATCCAGCAAGACAGCAGCAAAGGCCGTCTCAATTACATCATGAGTTGCCTGGGCTTTGAAGTGACCAGGCAGAAAAAATCATTTTATAATGCTTCCCTTTCAGTAACAGGTCCCCAAAAAATATTAAAGTATGGTACGCCAAAGCCCAGTTGCTTGAATCTGCTGCACATCCCTTAGCTCGTCTGGCACCGCGGCACTTGGCCAGGCCACGACGGATCCATCTCCCAGGATCGCAGCAAATGCCTTCGCACTTGCTTGAATTTCGACTCGTCGAACCTGCAACATTAGCGGCTCTTCATTCAGCGTCGCCTCCTTTAGTGGGGCTCCTCCATCAAGAACTCTGCCAGTAGAGTCTACGAGCCGACCTTTGCCTACTCCCAGGGCTTTCTGAGCACGCGTTCGCAGCGATTCCACAGATTCGTCCGCGTGCGTCTGCAGCGACACAGTCTTGCCACTAATCAGGCTTACCTCATAGGTCAGCGACATGACTAAAACTCCGATCCATGGCACAAACACCAGATTTCATTGCTGTGCTGCCTCGGTCGGAGCACTGAAACGCTTTGACAACGTCTGGAGTCTGGTGATGCATCAACACAACCGTAAACAACTTGTGAGGGTTGGTGGACGACAGGACTGGCAAATTCCTTCGTCTGAGTTGTTCTGGCCATGGCCGGTATCAGCCTTGGAAATGAACGTAAGCGCCTGGCCAGCAGCGGGGCATAACCCGTGACAATGTCAATCAAATGCGAATGCGAGCTTCCAATTTTTTGCGATCTCCAATTTGTGGAGGCCCTCCTCTAAGAATTGAAAGAAGGCAGCATGGGATGCCCACAGACTTCCGCCAACGCCACCCCGAGTATCATCGCCATCATCATGCAATCGTAACCAATGCAGATCATAAACGTCAGCACCATCCTGATGATGGTCGTGACCATACTACTACCATCATCATGGTCATGATCGTCATCATCATCCAAGCCCTAACCCTAAACCAAACCTGAACCCGAAACCCTAACTACCACTGAGGACGCGACAGCACCGGGTGGAGGAGGCGGAGGCGGAGGCTGCTTATGCAGAGCGCCTCCGCAAACCGTGGCTCGCATAATTCTATACGCTTTTTGGGGGTTCGTTTAAAGGGAATCCTTAAAAGGGTCTATAAGGGATTTATAGCAAGGTTCTGCGACATAGGGGCCTAAATAATTACCTATACTATTTTTGACCCCATTCTAATTATTCAGGCCCCTATATTAGGGGACCAGCACTCTCAGGCTTGACCGCATCAGCAACCACCCGAAGGATCAATATCCTACTTGTCGAGTATCCCGAGGAACTAAAGGTTAAACCGTTGGCAGTATATTGGGAGAGAAGGGTCTGCGACTCTGATATTTACTGGAGATGAAGAAGAAGATAATGATGACGATGAGGCACAGGAGATGGAGGCGGAGGAGGAGGAGGAGGAGGAGGAAGAAGAGGCGGAGAATGGTTCGAGTCATGGTTGGGATGATGCTGATGATAGTGGTGGTGATGAAAATGAAAATGAATATGAACTAGAATAACAATAGGAATATTATGATGGCGATGACAACGGCGATGATGAGGACGATGCTGACGACGATGGTGAACATGGCGATAATGATAGCCATGATGACGATGACGGTGATGCTACTGATGCTGATACTGAGTGTGATGGTGCTGGAGGTTGTGCTGATGGTGATAGTGGTGATGGTGATGATTGCGATAGCGATGCTGGTATAGATGGTAATGGTGATGACGGCCATGCTGGTGATGCTGGTGCTGCTGGTGATGACGGGGATATGGCGCTGACATGCGATGGTGCAGCAGAGCACGACACGTGCCGTGATGATAGCTGGCAAAACTGCCGGGATGGCAGTATCCCGGGACCCAGAGACTCCAACATCCATTAATTAAGGAATATACCTTAAATTATATTAGGGATCCTACCATAATTTAAGGAATATTCCTTAATTAAGGGATATTGGAGTCTCTGGGGAGGTGCCAGGACCGGAGAGACCATAGTCTCTCTGCCACAGTCTAGCATAATCTCACAAATCGCGATCTACTATGGCATGACACGAGCATGATGTGATGACGCCAGACTATAGTCATACGGTTTAGGGTTTAGAGTTTAGGGTCATGGTCATGAGTCATGATGAGGCGGATGTAGGATATAGGGTTTAGGCGTGGTCATCACTCTCATGAGAAGGCGGAGTATGAGAACGATCAGGAGTATGCTGAGGACACAATTCAGTCGTGCTTCCAACTTCGGATTCAGGAGTATGGACATCAATGGCGAACCGAAATACCCTACTCCCCATATCTCACACCCTAAACTCCGGCGCAGAGGGTTCCGACTTCCTCTCAACCCCGGTAGCCGACCGCCCAGCAGCATTAAGAGCTCAAGGTTTAGGGTTTGGAGCCCCTCAATGTCGGAGCCTTAATACTTAGAATAGGGTTTTGGGGCCCAGTATCATATACTTATAGTATGGAGCCCCCAAAGTAGTACTCGTGATTATTTAGGCTCCTGTACTAAATTTGAACCAAACCACCATACTACCCCTTCAAGCACTCCTTAGGAGCCCTTTAAACTAGGATACACAGTAACCTAAGAACAAAAAGGCCTCTCTTTTTGGTATTGGGTAACTTTATAAGGAGCCTGGGACTACAAAAAGAGAATAAGGGTACTACTGGGCATCCTAGTCTATGTAGGATCCTACAGTGGGGGTTTGGGGTCCCTTGTCTAGGAGACCCCCCCCCCCCCCCCGCCCCCTTGAGATCCTGAACCCCAAGGCATCAAATCCACATCCGATTCAGTGAGCCGTACTTCCCAGAGACTCCAATGTCCCTTAATTTGAATATTCCATTAACTCATAGTAGGGATCTTACCATAATTCAAGGTATACTGCGCAAATTAAGGGAGATTGGAGTCTCTGGGTTTAGGGCTCAGGGGCCTTAGTAAGTAGGTCAGGTTATAATTGGAGGTATAGGTCCCCTAAGCGGGGTTATAACCTTTAATCCAAGGGTAAAAGGAGGGACCCTTAATAAGGACCCCTAGGTATATACCCTCAATATAGCTATTATATACCCATTATATAGCCCCATTATAGGGTAAGGGTCCCCATTAAGGGTCCCTCCTTTTCCCCTTTGATGTAAGTAGTTTCGCATGTCAGTTTGATGCCTGAACGCTTCGTTTTGAACTTGAAGTTTAGGGTTTGGGGTTTAGGAGTCGGATGTACTATACAGAGTACCCAATACCCTTTAAGTAAGGAGCATGGCATAGATCCTAATATGAATCCCCTCATAATGCAAGGTATATTCCTTACTTATGGAGTATTGGGCTGTCTGGGTACGCAGCCCGGAGCGCCCCTGATCCAGGGCCACTTTCTAGGCATTTACAGTTATCGACGAGCTTTTTACGCGTTTATCTCCCGACAATAAAGCGGAAACCCTCAAGGTGTTTTTAAGCCAAGCCCAAGAGTAACCTGGGAAAAAAGGCTGCCCTTTTTGGTTTAAAGGGGCTTATAAGGGAACCTGAACCCTAAAAAAGGGAATAAGGGCCTACTCTGGGTCGTACTAAGGGTTTCAGTGGTCCTTTGCGTTGCGGTATCGGGTGTAATTAGTAGAACCTCAAACTACACAGAGCTGAGGCTTAAGCTAGAAACCTAAACCCTAACCCCCAACCCTAACCTTAAACCCTAAACCACAAACCCTAAACCCCCAGACCCCTAAACCCCAAAAACCCTAAACCTAGGGGCTACATTACAGGGTTTCCTTTCAGGGGTTTATGGCTCCTTTATTTGAAGGGTTCTATGAGAGGTTTAGGGTTCAGATGGGGGTATTAGGGAGGGTTTCCCAGACCCTAAACCCTAAACCGTGCCTCCTTCCCTGCCAGCCACCTCTGCCAATCGAGCCGCCCGCGCCAACAGGGCGCAGAAGCCTCGGGCTGCAACACGTAAAGGCTCGTGGGGTGTTTAGGGTTTAGGGTTTAGGGGTTTAGGGTTTAGGATTTTTGGGTTTAGGGCTTAGGGGTTTAGGGTTTAGGGGTTTAGGGTTTAGGGTTTTAGGGTTTAGGGGTTTAGGGTTTAGGGGTTTAGGATTTAGGGTTTAGGCTCGTGGGGCTTGTTAAAAGGGAGTTTCCGAAAATTAAAGGTACCTTGTTTGGGGGTCCTTATAGTAAAGATCCTACTATCTAGGGTGCTATATTAGGGTCCCCCATTTTCGGAAACTCCCAAATAACTTGGCTGACTTCTGAACCCCTCCTACAAGTTAAACCTTAAGCCTCCTTCTTATGGCCCATTTTAGAAACCCAAAAAGTTAAAGACCAAAGAGCCAACCAGAAGAATGCCAAGACAAGGTTGCTTACAGGGTTCCTTGCAAGGGATCTGTACAGGAGTGTTTTAGGGTTGCATAAAGGCTCATGGGACTTAGTTTGGTAGAGGCATAAGGAGGTTATTCTTACGATAACCCTACTTACGGGACTTCTAATCCCAATTATAACCTACCTACTAATATGGCAAAGGGTAGATATTAGTTCGGGCTTCTGATTTTGGGGCCTTCATGCTTCACCTATCCCTCAAAATCCAGGAACAGTTTGCCTGCTAAAAATTCAGGCGCAAACTCTTCCTTAGAAGCTCAAGGGAAGTAGTAAGTATCTGACAAGTAAGGTTATAAGTAGGACACGCCTACTTGAAGGACTAAGAACCCCAATTTATTCATTTCCCTGCTTGCTAAGGCCCCCTAAGCCCTTAATTGACTCCCCTTGTTCAAGTTGTGTTTTGGGTGGCCTCGGTTGTGGTGTGTTACGGGCCAGAGTTGGCAGCGTGGGTCGTCGGCGACTGCAAGAATACGCCTGGGGCTCCGGACTGTTGGATGAAGCTCAGTTTCGGGTTTAGGCTGTACGCAAACTTCGTTAAGTGGAGGATTTTAGCTCTGAGCTGGAGAAAAGCTTTGGCCGTTTGCGAAATCGAGCGCTACTTCGAGTTCCACGTTTGGAGCGAGAGCCTTGAATATGCTCCGTTGTTGCAAAGCCACGTTTCATTTCGAGCTTGTTCAGGAGGCCACCAGTGCCATTTTCCAAAGGCTATTAATAAAAGGAAAATCCCTGTACCAGGAGGAGCCTTTGGTGTGACTGTTCGAGGTGCCGGCAGTCCTGGAAACGGGCACTGGCTCAGAACGGGAGATTGCCACATCTGCTGGCCCAGGACGACGATGACGACGACCACCACCAGAACCACCACAACGACAACAGCCACAACGACAACAGCCACAACGACCACCACCACCACCACCCCCCTACCACCACGACTACACAGACAAAATGAATCTTGCTCCTAAGTCTTCAGACCTATATGGGTGGTTGTCAAAATTAGGGTCCCTTTTTGGGTGCCTATTATAATACAGCACCTATTGTTTGGGGTTCCCAAAAAGGGACCATAATTTTGACAACCACCCATATATTCGCCTTAACCCAGCTCAGGACTTCCCGGTATGCCTTGTGACGAGCAGGCCGAAGCTTCCCCGGTTGCCCACAAAAGGCCAAGGCGACTCTTAAGGGGGTGGGGGGGAGGCGGGGTAGGGGGCCTTAATACCCATCATAAGGACTTAATAAGGCTTATGTACTAGTTCATGGCCGGGATAGGATTAAAGATTTAAACTGCTATTCCTTATTGGGTTTAAGTACCCATGAAAATGCAAAATGTTACCCAACTATGACAAAGGACTGGGCTTTTCCTTGAAGTCGATCTTCTTCGTTTCCCAGAAGCCGTTCTTCTGACAGGAATACACCTCGAGCAGGCCCCAAACCCCTAAGCCTCTTGGGGTTTAGGGTTTAGGGGCTCGGGGTTTGGGTTTAGGGTTTAGGGTTTAGGGTTTAGGGTTTGCTGCAAGATTGCGTAGAGGTAGTGCAACAGGGATTGTGGGATTTATTAGCGGTTTTGTTGCCTGCGAATCGCAGACATGGCCCGACTGTGGCGGGCCATCACCTAATAACTCACCCACCCCACGCCGTCTGAGGCGGCAAACCACCCAGGGTTTAGGACCTAAACTCTGTTAGGTCCATGTTGGTTAACAACAACCACACATTTCTGCAGCCAAGCTTCTGCTCCGAAAAGGCAGGGCAGAGGAGGGCAGAGTACGGCAAGAGGTGGGCCAGGAGGCCAGGAGGGCAAGGGCGCCAGGGACGTGTCCCGGTACCGGGCCCAACGTGGGTGCTACAGAACCCCTGGCTGTGGGACGGCGGGCGAGCGTCCTGGATCGACTTGCGCCATCGATGTCGAAGGGCACAAGCGCCGCCCACCGAAGGTGGGCGGCCTAAGCCCTGAGTTTAGGGGCTCGGGGTTTGGGTTTAGGGTTTAGGGTTTAGGGTTTAGGGTTTCAGAAGTCCAAGGGTCAAAGGAGGGACCCGTAACAGGGATCCCTAGGTATATACCCTTAATATAGCTATTACAGTGATGCCCAGTAACCTAGGAATAAAAAGGCCTCACTTTTTGGTATTGGGTAACTTTATAAGGAACCTAGGACTACAAAAAGGGAATAAGGGTACTACTGGGAATCCTAGATTATATACCCATTCGATAGCCCATTATAGGGCAGGGGTCCCCATTAAGGGTCCCTCCTTTTCCCCTTTGAAAAAGCCCACGGAGCCTGCAGGCATAACTCTTCATGAGGATCGAAGATGCCCGGAAAAGGTGGATTCCGAAAATATCGTCGTGACATCCCCATGCTCGTGTATTCTTTCGGGCCTTGCAAAGGTCATCCTAAAAGAGCCCAACAGGAATAGCCCCTAGGAACTTAGCATATACCCCAAACCCTAGCCCTAGAACCGCAAACCCTGAACCTCTTTTTAAAGGCTCCGCTTTGGGTTCAGGGTTTTACGGTTTTGACATGGGAGTTTCCGAAAATTAGGGGAGTACCTTTGTTTAGGGGGTCCTTATAATAAGGGTCCTACTAGCTAGGGTACTATATTAGGGTCCGATACTTTCGGAAACTCCCACATCGGATCGCTCCCAGACTTGCAGTGTTTTCGCCATTTTCACGTCCTCTACTAGCATGCCCCAAACCCTAGGAAAAAAAGGGCTCCTTTTTTGGGGTATTGGGTAACTTTATAAGGAACCTAGGACTACAAAAAGGGAAGCCTCTACTAGGATGCCCAACAACCTAAGGGAGAAAAGGGCTTCCTTTTTGGGGTGTTGGGTAACTATATAAGGAACCTGGGACTACAAAAAGGGAATGAGGCTACTACTGGGCATCCCAGTCTAAAGCTCAAATCCGAAACGCCCCTTACCTCCCCCTAAACCCTTGTGGGAATCGGAACTGTCCGGAGTTAAAAACCTGAACCCTTATCGGAGAGGAACACTTGAGCATTTTACGGCTCACCTAAACCCCGCGGGCACCATAAACCCTAAGTCCCTATAGTAAAACCCTAAACCCTAAACCCTAAAACCCTAAACCGTAAAATCCTAAAACCTAAACCCTCGGGACGAAGCGCGAAGCTCCTGAGCTTGACCAGCGGGTCTTCTCTCTGGAAGTCAAAACCTGGGATGGATTTTTTGGGCACCTCCATTTTGAGGGTTTAGGGCTCTTTTTTTGGTAGAGCTCCTTTTTCCCAAGAGGTTTAGGGTTTAGGTCTTTGGGTTTCGAGGGTTGAGGGTTTAGGGTTGAGGGTTTTGGGCTTTGGGTTTTGAGGGTTTGGTGTTTTTGAAGTTTAGGTTTTGAGGTTTAGGGTTTAGGGTTGAGGGTTTTGATGTTTAGGGTTGAGGGTTTAGCGTAGAAGGTTTAGGGTTTAAGGTTTGGGGTTGAGGGTTGAGGGCTTTGGGTTTAGGGTTTAGGGTTTTGAGGTTTTTGGTTGAGGATTGTGGGTTTAGGGTTTAGGGTTGAGGGTGTAGGGTTGAGGATTTAAGGTTTTGAGGGTTTAGGGTTCAGGGTTTAGGGCGATAGTCCATGTTAAGATCGCGCCGCTCCACACCAGGGCTTGTGGGTGGCGGGTGACACCTCAAATTCCTTTTACTCGCCGCTGTGATGATATGAGTCATGCAACTTTCGCGAGGCAGGGCAAGGGGGGTGGTGGCGGGGGCTACAAAGCCCAGCAGCTTTGCTGTGGGGTACCAGGCATGTTTAGGGTTTAGGTTTACGGTCCTAAACCCTAAACCCGTAAAACTGTAAAACCCTACACCCAAAACTCTAAACCCCTAAACCCTAAACCCCTAAGCCCCTAAACCCGTAACCCGTAAAACCCTAAACCCGAACAACTTGAATCCGCCTGGACCCGGAACTGAAAGCGTCAAGATGCGGAATCTCCAGCATACCAGCAGGACTTGATCCTCACAGGCACTCCACTGCTCTGCCAGGTTTGGGGGCTTTGGCGCGTTTGGGGGTTTAGGGGTTTAGAGGCAGGGGTGTCAAGGTTGAGGAAGGTCTAATTTCGGGTTTGGGGTTTGAGGGTTTAGGGTCTACCGTTTAGGAAGACGCAGGCTTAGGGTCCTAAACCTGAAACACGTAAACTAAACCCGAGACCCTAGACCACAAACACTCGCCTAAACCCTGAACCCTAGACCAAATCCGAAACATGCGGGTGGTTGTCAAAATTATGGTCCCTGTTTGGGTCCCTAATATCGTGCGGCACCTAATATTCAGGGTGCCCAACAAGGGTCCCTAATTCTGACAACCACCTGAGCAGAGTTCAGGTTGAAGTTTTGGGGTCTCGGAGCGGGCTTGGGCCCAAACCAAAATTCTGACGGTGCTCCTCATTGAGACGCCGCAGCACGGACATCACCTGCAAAGGTATGGAGGTTGGGCGTTTAGCGATGTTTTGGGGTTTAGCCCTGTAGTCCCGAAACTCACATTCCTAAAATCAAGGTCTATATTGGGGATGCGAGGTATATTACATTATAACATAGAAAGGCTATGGAACCCGAAGACATAGCAATGCAATTCTACAGGCCCCTGTTTATACTCCAACCAAAAAACATTGGACACCGGATGAAAGCCCCTTTGCTTGATCCTTGCTTGATAAGACCAGAGGTGAACTGATTATAGTTGTTAGGATTACGTTATACCCAAATCACTACGACCCGTGGAACCTAGCGTTGCAGGATCTATTTCTACCCAGAGGACCCAATGCCCCTCAACTAAGGAACATAGCTTGAACTTATGAAGCCCCTTATAATTCAAGCTACATTCCTTAATTAAGGGGTACCGGGCTCTCTAAACCCTAAACCCTACAGTCTGAAACCCTAAACCCCAAACCCTACATCTCTCAACTACAGGGCGACTGATATTTAGGGTACCCAAAGAGGGACCGAACATAATTTTGACAACCATCCATATAATTCCAGAATTCCTTAACCAAGCACCCTAATCCCACGACAAACCCTAAACCCCAATCCCACGATTCCGAAGCCCAACCCGAGTTCCTAAGGTTTAGGTTTCGGATGTAAAAATTAAGGTCGTCTGCACACGCAGTCTCACAACCTCGCTCCTCAAGCAAAAACTCTGACGGAGGTTTAGGGTTTAGGGTTCAGGGTTTAGAGTTTAGGGTTTAGGGTTAAAACTTTCTGCGATCTGTGGAGAGTTTCTTAACAACCAACGCCTGAGCCCGACAAAAAGAAACCCAACGCATCCGTCATCCACATGATATTAGGCATTTTACGCTACATGGCAGATCTTAGCAAATTGGGGCGAGGTACCCCAAAACCAGAACCCTAAACTCTAAACCGTAGACCCTGAAATCCCAAAGCCTACTATTTTGGGCTAGTGGTAGCAGGGTGCCCTGTTTTTCTGAGGCTCCCGTCTGCTCCTAGCCGACTGACGGCTCGATCATATAGTATAATCTGATATAAAGAACCCTCAGGAAAAGGATATTGGTAATAAGGTTTAGGGTTTAGGGACCCGAAGAAGTAATATTGATAATTAATCAGGCTTCTGTATTAGAGGTCCTTTTGCAGGCTATCCGGCAGGATTCTTGCACAGGGTTTGCGGTTTAGGCGCTTAGAGGGATAAGGTGCAATGTTCGTTTACCCATAGCTCAGCTGATCTCGCACAGCGCTGCTGTCGCCACCGCAGTCCGCATCGCCCCAAGTCACGACGGAGCCATCTGCACAAATCGCAGCAAAGGCTGTCGAAGCTGCTTGAATCTGCTGCACATTCCTCAGCTCATCATGCACAGCGCTGCAGTCACCACCATTGCGATCACTGCCCCAGGTCACGACGGAGCCATCTGCCAGGATCGCAGCAAAGGCACTATCAGTTGCTTGAATCCGCTGAACATTCCTCAGCTGATCTCGCACAGCACTGCTGTCACCACCATATTGATCACCGCCCCAAGTCACGACGGAACCGTCCCGCAGGATCGCAGCAAAAGCATGCTTGGTTGCTTGAATCTGCTGCACGTTCGTCAGCTGATCTTGCCAGGCGCTGCTGTCACCACCCCAGACAGCATCGCCCCAGGTCACGACCGAGCCATCACTGCGGATCGCAGCAAAGGCTGATGAAGCTGCTTGAATCTGCTGCACATTGTTCAGCTGACCTGGAACAGCACTGATGTCACCACCGGAGCCTTCATCGCCCCAGGTCACGACGGAGCCATCAGAAAGGATCGCAGCAAATGCATAAAAAGTTGATTGAATCTGCTTCACATTCCTCAGCTGATCTCGCACGGCACTGCTGTCACCACCGAAGTGAGCTTTGCCCCAAGCAACGACAGAGCCATCCCCCAGGATCGCAGCAAAGGCACGATCAGTTGCTTTAATCTGCTGAACATTCTTCAGCTGATCTCGCACAGCACTGCTGTCACCACCATATTGATCACCGCCCCAAGTCACGACGGAACCGTCCTGCAGGATCGCAGCAAAAGCATGCTTGGTTGCTTGAATCTGATGCACGTTCTTCAGCTGATCTCGCACAGCACTGCTGTCACCGCCTCTGTCAGGAGAGCCCCAAGTCACAACGGAGCCATCAGCAAGGATGGCAGCAAAGGCATGCTGCGTTGCTTGAATCTGCTGCACATTTTTCAGCCGATCTCGCACGGCACTACTGTCACCACCAGAGCCAGCACTGCCCCAGGTCACGACGGAGCCATCACCAAGGATCGCGGCAAAGGCGCGACTGGCTGATTGAAACTTTTGCACATTCTGCATATCAGATTGGGCAGCATTGCGGTCCCCACCGAAGACGGAATGGCCCCATGTTACGACGGAGCCATCCCCCAGGATCGCAGCAAAGGCAGACGTCCCGCAGCATATGTCGACTCTTCGAACCTGCAGCATCAGCAGCTCCGGATGCGGCAACCTGGCCTTCTTTAGCGGCGCACCTCCATCAAGAACGCTTCCAGTGGAGTCCAAGAGTCGGCCTCTGCCAACCCCCAGGGCTGTCTGCGCACGCACTTTCAGTGATTCCGCGGATTCGTTCCCGTGTGTCTGAAGTGACACCGTCTTGCCACTTATGAGGCACACCTCAAGCGTCCGGGACATGATGGAGGGCTCACGCTTCTGATCAATCCATGGCCAACATGCCGAATGCCGGGGCTGCATTGAACAGTATAGGCACGAAAAGAGTTTCAAGAAAAGGGCTCCTTCAACTCGTACAGTTTCGGTTACATGCAGGGGCCTTAATGATCAGAATAGGGATTTGGGGCCCGTTATACTATATAACTGGGCCGTAACCGGGAAGCCTTAAGCTCAAGCCTACCGACCACCTCGAGCAGTATCAACTACAGTGGTTCAGGGTTCCAGGGTTTAGGGTTCAGGGTAATAATCAGGGGTCTACAATGATTACTATAAGGGGTATTGTTTTGGCTTGATTAATGTAGGGGCCTTTTTGATTAGAAGACGGTTCCTTTACAGGGTTCCCTAATGGGGTCTATAAGAGATCTACCGTTGGGTTCTAAGTTCTATGGTATCCCTAAACCCTAGGAGTCCTAATCCCCGAACCCCCTCCGGGTTTGGGGGTTCTAGGGTTTAGGGTTTAGGGTTTCAGGGTATAGGGGATTTAGCGGTTTAGGGTTTAAGGTTCCCTAAACCCTAAACCCTAAACCTTAAACCAGGATCACTACATCCTAAAGGTTTGGGGCTTTGGGTTTGTGGGTTCAGGGTTTAGGCTTTAGGGTTCGGTTGTGGGTTCAGGGTTTCTCAAAGACTTTAAGTTTGCACCCTAAACGTTTGTAACCCTAGGTTTGGGGTCCCGAATACCCCTATTAAGGGGTATATTCCATGGTTTAGGGGCCCAAACCCAAGGGTACAAACCCTAAGGGTACAAAGGAAAACTCCTTGAGTTTCGGGGAGCACTAGTCACTAGGGTGTGGATGTTTCATTTGCCGGGGCACCGAGCAAAACGGCTTTTGTGTATTCTCTTTGAAATACTCTCCGAACCCGCAGGGCCCAAGACGTCTTGACTGAGCAATATATCCTTCATGAAGTTAACGATAATCTACACGCAGTGTGCTGAAAGGAATCTCACACCCGCTTGATATCAGAACTGACGCATGCAGAAATAAGGAAACATCCAACCAACATACTTAAAGGCTCATGGGACTTAGCATGTAAGGTTATAAGTAGGTTATACTTAGGATAGCCCCACTTAGGGGACTTATAACCCCAACTACAACCTACTTACTTAAGTCCCATGATCCTTTAAGTAGACCCTAAACCCTTAAGGGAGCTCTACTATAGAACCTATGGCACCCTTAAAAGGAACCCTAAACCTTACTTTAGGGACCCTTAACTCCTAATCCCTAAACCCCAAAGGAATCATCCTTGCTTCATAAGACCCTTGGCTTTCCCCGCCTGCTTCACATCCATGTGATACTCCTTGGCAAAGGCCTCCTGGGCGAATGCGACATTAGGGACCCCAAAAAGCACATAAGCATAAGCATTATGTGGGGATGTCCTACCATAGTGGGCTTCATTATAAGGGGGTTTATATCAGAGTTTCCGAAAATTGGGGACCCTAATATAGTACCCTAAATATTAGGATCCTTACTATAAGGACCCCAAAATAAGATACCCCTAATTTTCGGAAACTCCCATATGGGATATCCCTATCCTAATTTTTGCTTATGTGCTTTTTTGGGGCCCAAGACATGGTAATTGAGTTCCAGGGTTCGGGGTTTAGGAATGTCGCCTCTAGGATTTAAGGGTTTAGGGTTTAGGGTTTGTTTAGGATGTCTCGGGTTTAGGACTAGGATTCTCAAAGCAGCATGTAGAGCGGAATCAAATCGAACACCCCGTAAGGGAGCTCCACTATAGAACCCTATAGCACCCTTAAATGGAACCCTAAACCTTACTTTAGGGACCCTGAACCCCTAATCCCTAAACCCCAAAGGAAACTCCATTCATCTTTGAGGCCTTGAAGCCCCACAGCCAGTGTTGCTGCCGAGGAGCCACGATGTAGCGGAGGGGGATTCCATCATAGTGTCGATCCTATGGAACCATGCGTCGTCGGCTCAGGGCAAAGCTTAGGTTCGCAGAGGCAAAACCTGAAACTCCAACACCGTAAACCCCTAACCCCCTAGACCTTGAACCCTAAAACCCGAAGAACCTGGTCCTAAGGGATTCCAGGGTTAGTGGGGAGGATGAAGGCATGCTAGCTCCGGTTGTTGCTGTTGGCTAGCCGTCGCTGTCTCTTCCCGTCGAGAAACCTTCCTTCAAAATCTTGCTTACCCTAAACCCTAAACCCTTAACCCTGAACCGGAGCCTGATCTCACATCCTCGAGCTCTGGGGGGTCTCGGGACTTTGCTTGCAAATTGCTTGGCGACACCTCATCCGCTGGAGTCATTAAGGAGGGGAGCTTCCGGCTTCATGGACAGCTATACTGAACTTAGAACCCTAGCAAAAATAATAATTTTAGCTGTTTCTTGGGGATCGTAATAACCAAATATTAAAAAAAACATTTTTAAGTACCCCTAAGGACACCTAGCCACGGTGTCGTCTTGCTGTGACCTTAGGGACATGGACCCGAGCAGAAGTTTCAATGGCTGTGAACCCATTCTTGAACCTATACAGTAAACCCCAAAAAATTGGAAACCGGATTAAGGACAGCTAGTGCTGGGATTCCCTAGACATTACTCTTAAGGATAGAGGCTTTCGGGTTTTCAACTTTTGGGCTATTCTATTGTAATCTAGTAGTCTCCATGATTTCCCAAGCTTCCTCTATCTACATGGAGGCATTAAAGCTCCAGGACGGATCCCAGCAGCTGCAAACGCACGTCCGACAACCCAAAGCAGTGAAGCCCAAGCAAAACCGTCCTGCCAGTCTGCGTCGAGATCTCCACGTCCTCTGCTTCAGGATTTCCACACCACGTGCTATAGGGGCCTTAATAATTAGAATAGTGTTTTGGGGCCCATTATACTACATTTCTAATCAGGAACCCGCAAGATAGTATAGGTAATTGTTTAGGCCCCTATATTACTGTGAGCTGAGAAGCAACGAAATTACGTTTAGCGTTGAGGCTTCTCGGCTTCGTCTGCTTAGTGTAACCCTCGACCCTGAAGAGCGAAGGGGCTTCAGCTGAAGGCCAAACGTCAGAGTGTGGTTCGAGGATGACAGCATCTGATCCATAAATCTTGTGATTTGACAAGATGAATTGGGGAGCATATGTCGACCTCTCCAAAGTATTTGACTGCTGCCGCAAAGCTTGTGCTAGATCCACTGACCGCAGCCAGCATGTCAAAAGCGTGCTTACATCTTCTTCGGTGAGACATCAGGAATCTTAGATGGCTACAATCCAGAGACTCCAATATCCCTCAATTAAGGAATTTTCCTTGGATCATGTTAGGGCTCCCTAATATGATTTAAGGAATATTCCGTAATTCAGGGATATAGGAGTCTCCAGGATCCAGATTTCAGAGATTAGGCTTTCGTTTCGCCAGGCCACAGAAGTCGTCTTAGTCAAGACAACTTACGCAAACAGAGCACCCACAAACCCGAGATGAAAGTTGCTGCGGTTTAGGGTTTAGGGGAGACCCTAAATCCTAAACCCTAAACCCTGAATCCTGAACCCTTGGGTTTGGGGTACGAGACTGAGTTGCTGAGTTCATAAGCCCCCCACAAGTGTACACTTTCAGTTTTATAGTGGGTAATATTATGCCAAAAAGTGTAAAGCGTATCCACTCAGCTACTAAGGAGACAAGCCAGAGCCCCAAACTCCCCAGAGCAAAGCGGAGCTGAAACCTCAATCTGGGTTCTTGTTGAGGAATTTACTTCACGCTACCATAATAGGGATCTATAAGGGTTCCTTTAAGGGATCAAAAAGGATGCCTTTAAGGGTTTACGTTTCAGGGGTTTAACTTAAGTTACCACGATAGGGATGTATAGTAAATAACTTGGTTTCTTTAACAAGAACCCTGCAATCCCCAGGCCCTGAACCTCAAATTTGAGCTGGTATATACACTTCCATTGCCTTCTCTACGCGAGGGAAGATCTGCATAATGTACCTACATAATCAAGTACATACGCTTTTCCGGCGTCCCAAAACCTAAACCCTACTGTAAGGGCCTTACTAACTAAAATAGGGTTTTTGGGGTACATTATCATGTACTTTTAATGAGGAACCCCCAAAACAGGTCATTTTTTAAGGCCCCTATATGAAACCCTAAGCCGCACCTGCACCATCCGTCGGGGAGGGCGGCAGATGCGTTCCAGTGCTGCCTCCCCCTGCGAGCCCAGCGATTCCAACATCCCTTAATTGGGGAAGAGGGGGTGTTATAACCATGACCAGGGGCTAGTATTTTTAACCGCACCAAGGAATCTTTTAACCACGAAACGAAATGTGCAGCAGCGCATGATAAAGCACTGGGCGTCGAGACAGAAACAAGGCTACATCAGCCGCGGCAGTCGTTTGATTGCTGTGTAACAGCAGCACCGGCAGAAGCAGTAGTATAGCGGTAGTAGTAGTCGTCGCAATGAGGACAAGATAGGACAAGTATTGGAATCGGATACTGCGACACTGTGAAGCTTCGGCAAGAAAACAGCGCGGGGCTGCTTCCTTTTGCACGCATGTAAAGAGCGTGCGAGAAGATCCCCATCAGCAGGTCAACGATTTCTGTCGACGGCCTGCAATGCGATCAGCAAGCCTTCTCGTTCCATAAGCATCCGAGCTGAGTTCGAAATAAGGGACTCAACGACTCCATGCCTGCTTCTGGCGCTTCTGCATGGTCTTCGGTCGACCCTGCCACAAGTGATATGGCACTTTGACAAGTAAGCCAGCAATGAAGAATTCCCCCCCTCGTCCTGGAGATGGCCACGTCTGAAGTCCTTAGGGCCGTGGCGACTCTCCAGTTTTGCTGAGGCCTGGCCCGTCGATGTTGCCATACTACTATTTGCTTAAGAACCCCCAAAAAATAAAAAATATATATTCCTTATAGGGATAATATCGGGATTATAATTTTTTATTTTTTAGGGGGTTCTTAAGCAAATAGTAGTGTATTTACATCCAACCATCGTGTCATCTTCCCAGGATCTCCGACAGAAGCGCCAGACAGAGGCATGGAACGCGCCCGCCGTGCGAATGCTCAAACTTCGATAGGGGAACATGCAGTTTTAGGTAGCATCAGATCATGGGTATGTTTTCGGTTTTCGTGCTCAGACCACCGAGAGGATTTAGAAAGGACGTCCTTTTTTGAGATTTCAGCTAGTAAAGGTATCTTAGAAGAACCCCCATTAGGGGATCTACTTTCTAAATCCAGTGGTTGTGGTAAGCAAAAAAAGTTTGTTAGTCAGAAGAGGTCGAGGGCTCAGACGGCAGACTCTCACAGTGTTAAAGAAGACTGTGTTGCTGTTAACTGGCTGGTTTCATGGTAAGAACCCCAACTTATTGGGGAATACACCTTAAGGGTTCCATAAGGAATCTATAGGGTTTAGGGATTCTAATATCCCTTAATTAAGGAATATGCCTTAGAATTATAGTAGGATCCCTAATATCCCTTAGTTGGGGAATACCTGGACCCTAAGGAACCTGCCTTTTTGGGTTCCCTAATATGATATCTTTTTATAAGTCTCAAAAAAGGTAGGCTACTTGGGGTTTAAGGTAGTGATTTAGGGAATATCCCCGAATTCAGGGATATTGGAGTCTCTGGGAGACATTCGGGGCTTCCAGGCTCCCAGAGACTCAAGAGCGCCTTCAACTAAGGAGCGGGGGTCCTCAGAGACTCCAATATCCCTGAATCCTTACATCAGCTATATTCCTTAATGGATGTTGGGTCACTCACCCCTAAACTCTAAATCCTGAACCCCCAAACTCCCTCATACCCGAAGCCCCTACGCCCTGAACCCTAAACCCCATAAGCCTCTAAACCCGTAAACCCCCACACCCCCGAACCTAAACCCCGAAACCCCAAATCCAAAGAGTACACCCTAAACCCTAAACCCTATACCCTAAACCCTAAACCCTAAACCTTAACCTCACATCTCGGCTCTTGGATCCAGGGCCCCCTGCCTAGCAAAGCCAATGCCTCGTCCCAGCGAACTTCATCTCGCGTCTGGCAGAGACGCCAATGGCCGGGGGTGGGGGGCCTCTAATACTATTATGACTTAGGGAAGTATTCCCCATAACAGTACATAGGACCCTTTGGGGTTGTCAACTGATCATCAAAGGGGAAAAGGAGGCTATATAATGGGTATATAATAGCTATATTAAGGGTATATACCTAGGGGTCCTTATTTAAGGGTCCCTCCTTTTACCCTTGGGTCTACTATATCCTAAATACCCACTACTGCTGATGGACAAAATCCTGCATGACCTATTATAAGAAATATACCATAGTTCCCATAGTTTAGAGTCCTGAAGGTCATGCAGGATTTTGTCCATCAACAGTAGTGGGGGGGTTTAGGGTTTGGGGGTTTGCAGCTTTCGAATTAAGGGGAAGGTCCACGGGGTGAGAGGTGGACAAGGGGCTCTGGGGTGCGTGTCTCAAAGGGGACAAGGAGGGACCCTTAATGGGGACCCCTACCCGAGGTTGGGCTATATAATGGGTATATAATAGCTATATTATGGGTATATACCTAGGGGTCCTTATTAGGGGTCCCTCCTTCAAACTTTGAGAGTCATTTTGCTGTTTCCGGGCTGCGGGTGTAGGCTTCAGGTGTTTCAAGCTGTTGTGGTGCTAGAAGACCAGTCTACATGAGAGTTTCCGAAAATAGGGGACCCGAAAATAGTACCCTAAACAGTAGGATCCTTCTTATAAGGACCCCACAATAAGGTACCCCCCTATTTTCGGAAACTCCCACATCATATCCAAGGCACGGCTCAACATGCAGCCGCCCCGCACAAACCGCTTGAATGCTGTCTTACTTGAATAGCCCATGTGCCTTGGAAAGAGCGGGCGAAGAGTACTTCGAGGATCATGGGACTTAGTAAGTAGGGGGTCCTTAGAGTGTTCCTGTAAGGGATCTACAAGGGTTCTACAAGGGGGAGTTCGGGGTACTTTAGAGGATCATGGGACTTAGGTAAGTAGGTTATAGTTGGGGTTATACCTCCCCTAAGTGGGGTTATCCTAGTTATAACCTACTTATAACCTGACTTACTAAGTCCCATGAGCCTTTAAGTAAGGTTCAGAGTTGCGCAGGATGACAGCGAGGTCTACGCAAGAGCTGTTTCAGCTAGACTTCGTGTTCCATCGGCTCGGTCCCTGACAACCCACACAAGGAAGGCTCCAGCCACCATAAAGATGTTTAGGATTCGGTGCCATGAACACCCAGACCCACGGGAGGATGTAGAAAGTGGATCCCCTAATTTGGGGCCCTATACTACTAAGGATACTTTAGAGGAACCCCCATTAAGGGATCTACTTTTTGGATCCTCCCGGGACTGGGCTAGGCCTTGTGGAGATAAACCTGTTTGCAGGCTAAGCATGGGGAACTTCGAGAATTCAATCAGCTCTGTGCATCCGGTGCCCGGAATCCTAATTTGCCAGTAACCCTAAACCCTACAGACCCTCAACCGTAACTTCAACCTGAACACCTGAACCCAGCTCTTGAGGAACCCTCACAGTCAGGAACTCTTAAAGGCTTAAAGGTATACCCAACTCTCCTAAGCGGCTTTGAGCTGTTACCTTAAGAATTGGAAGAAGGTTTCGGGGGGGGGCATTGTCCGACATATGCAGTTACAATAAGAAGATCAGGAATCCGAAAAACAGTGTTGGCAATTTGTCCTACTTCTTTTTCGAAGCGCTCATGGCACACCTATAATACCCGCGTAGAACCCTGGTAGAACCCTTAAATGAGCCCCTAACCCTAACCCTTGACCTTAAATTATGGAGGCCGTAACCCTAAACTTTAGACTTAAACTCTATACCCTGACCTAAAGTACCCTCAACGACCCTTAAAGGAGCCCTTTAAAGGAGCCCCTTAAAGGAGCCTTATTTTAGAGGAACCCCGAAAGGAACCCTTAAAGGAGCCTTATTTCAAGCAACCCTGAACCTGTTGATGGAAAAATCCTGCATGACCCTAAAGACTCTAAACTATGGGAACTATGGTATATTCCTTATAAAGGGTGATGCAGGATTTTGTCCATCAACAGCAGGAACCCTTAAAGGATCTCGGGCCTGGCCTGGCCAACCCGGCCCCCCGGGCGAATTTCGACCCAGCGTCCTGCCAGTAGCCGGAAGGCTGTGAAGGTCTTGTCCGAGCCAGTTTAGGGTTTAAGGGGGATGGTATACAATGTTTAGAATTGTGAAGGGTCTAAAGTCCGCCTGAAAATTCAAACATCTTGAATCTTGATGTCGGAGTTTTCGGACAGAGACTGTAGAGTTGAGATGAACGTCTGGTTGAAAGAACTTCAAGACTCTCACCTGCAGCTGCAGGTGTCTGCCTTACTTCAGGGAGACTTTGATCTAAGAAGGTTGACGGACATCTCCGAAAAGAGCGTAATGCAATAAAGCAAGACCCGGATGTTTTAGGAACCGTGTCAGCGCTTCCGCCGGTGAGTTGGCAAAAACACAGGCACCTTGACAGTTGAAACAGTGTTCAAGGGGGCATTCCCAGCACCCCTTAATCACGGAATATACCTGAAATTACAAGGGGCTTCGTATTTTGCTTTAACCTTAATTGAGGGGTACAGGGCTCTGTGGCTTATAGTGCGACAACAATGGCATGGATGGTCCCTGTTTTCCGTACGAAGGCCTCTATATGGTTGCATAGGATGTGCACATATGTCTTCAAAGCCAAACCACGAACGTAGACAATCAACAAACACACGCACACACAGACAGAACAATCAAAGCCATAGAGCCCAAAGGAAACATGCAGACATACATTCTTTCATACGTACGGACATGCAGACATACAGACAGACAGGCAGGCAGGCTGGCAGGCAGGCAGGCAGACAGACAGACCGACGGACGGACGGACCGACAGACATACATACAGTGCGTATGTGTATATACATACATGCATGCATACATACGTGATGTCAATGTAGATAGGTGTGCATGCGCATGAGCTCTTGCAAGCCCTTTTCGCTTTCTGTGGCAGGGGTTCCTTTAAAGGATCCTTGAAAAGTTCTTCAAGGGTTTTGGAGCTTTGGGGAATAAGTGAGATTGGGCTTCAGGTGTTCAGGCTTAGAGCTGCTCGCTCTTGGCTTTAGGCTTCAGGGCCTTCCCAGAGACTCCAATATCCCTTAATTAAGGAATATTCCTTAAATCATACTAGGGATCCTACTATAATTTAAGGAATATTCCTTA